ACCAGAAGGCACGTGGGGCAGGCACACGTGGCGGCGGGACACGAGATGGACACTAGAGCGAGCACTCCCGCCGTTTCGCACTGGCAGCCCGGCGAGAAATTAAAATCAAAGTTGGCAAAGGGCGTCCGCATGGCGCGATTTCCGATCGCTCCCTCAGTCTCTTGAACACTGGCCAATGTTCGCGGAACGATTCCGACTCCGACTCCTCCGATTTCTCCGGTGCTCAAGTGCCGACTGTCAAAGCAAATAAAAATAACAAAATGGCCTCACCTGTATCCTGGCAACATTCATTAAAACACCTCCGAGCGGCGCCGTGCCGAATTTGGAGGCAGAAAGAGGCGCGAATCGCTGCGATTGCACCAGGAGAAATGTGTGTAAAGTTTCATTTATGTTGGTACTAAAAACTGTAAAAAATGTGATACAATCCCAAATATATATTCCATAAATAACGAACATATTCATGAGTATTTACCCACTTCCATCTTGGCTGATCCTGGCTAAGTTTTCATCAAGAATGTAATCAAAAAATAGTTTAAAGAAATATTCGTGCTGTCTTTTATTGTTATGAGATTTCCCTGAATTTCTTTCAGTGTAAAATTGGGCTTTGGATATATGGATATTAATCCATTTGCAGTCGCGGCTCTGCATAAGACAAATCGGGCAGCGGAACCGATTTCTCGGCCAACTTGCGACGCTGCGAAACGAGCGCATTATTTAATAATACCGTTTGTTTATTGAATCGCAGTCAAAACTTTTGGCACAGACGGAAACCCAGTCCCCCCAGGAACCCCTCTGACTGCCCCTTATCGCCCCCGACTAGTTCGCCGCAAGTTGCTGATTTTGGGCGGCTTGGGGTGGTCTCCCATTTTGCTCCCTGGAAGGGTTGGGGGTTGGGACATGGGAATGGGAATGGGGTGCCGGCGGTGCAGTCGTCGACGGCAACGGCAACGCCGGCATGTCTGTCACACCCCGAAAAGTGAAATAGCTTCTGTCAATATTCTGTCAATAGGCACATGTTTTTCCGATGCCGAGTGGGTGGCGGCACCCGGCGGTGGCAGTGGCAGGCGGGGATTGGGATTCGGATTGCCAAAGTGGAGCCACGGGGGGGCTGTTTGCCGGAGCTGTTGATGGCGCTGTTGCTGCGTTTTCCCTTTCGCCTGATATTTAATCGATCTCCTGGCAATGAACATAGATCAATATTGCGTTTTGAAAGCGAGTTCTTTTTTGGGGCTCGACCCATTTTTGAGACCAGTCCGAGTTAGAGTATGCCAAGAGTCCATATGTATTTTAGAGGCATTGGACTCTTTGACTTTAAATGTATATTCTTCAGAGGTAATTAATATCTTTTTGGCCATTGTAATATATACAATATTAATCCCTAAACAAGGCATTTCCTTTTAGTTATAATATTTATGTAGCTAAACCTTTTTACATTAATATTTTCTCTTCAAACATTTACCTTTGCTTCAAAATAACTGCAAGACTTGTGCATTTCCTTAATCAATAGTTTTTGTTCACACCTTTTTTAGCCAAATCATTACCATGTACCTTTTCAAGTGAGAACAGATCCACTCCATTTAAAGCTGCTGAGGCCTTTCGTTGGCCTTGTTTACTTGGTAAATAAAGACGTCGCCACATTTATCTGCATAAACTTATAGCGCAAAGTATCTCATCGGGCGAGGAAAGCAAGACCCAGCCGTCTAGGGTCAAGTAAGTACACTCCAGAGCTCATGTATGTATGTACATCTGTGTGGAAGGCAGACAAGGATCTGGAATTGTGGCCGAGGTACGGAGCTGGTCTGGGATATGGGAACCGAACGGAACCGGCAGCTCCATGGCTCCATGGCTCCATGGCTCTGCTCCAAACACTTTTCTTTGGCCGGCGGCCATTCCATCCATGCACCATAATTTTCAATAGCTATTCAAATTCTTTGAAGTTCTCGAGGTCACCTAACGGATGCGAGGCATTGAAATTGATCCAGGCCATGAGCAGAGCATCGCCTTGCAGTTGCCACTGCCGACTGAGCTGGGTTTTGGCCACCAAACCGGATAGTTGGCTCTCGGTTAGTCCCTTGCAGCTCTTTGTTTGTGTGCCGCGGCCAAGATGCATCATCACATCGGCCTGGCTCAATCGAATCAGCAGCGGCACTATCCCAGTATCCAGTATCCCATCCTATCCAGCACATTTATCTGGCAAGCAATTCCAATTTCGCCGGCTGCCATCCGAATAATCACTGGTTTTTTCGACCAATCAGCAGATTAAATTGCATCAAGATGCTTACTTACTTACTTAAAACAAAGTTGTTCTTATAAAATTCTTATAAGGCCGCAGGACTTTAATTAGGATAGCAGGCCTTCCGATACGAATTCCTCAATTCAGTCTAATTAATTGAGCTGTAATTTTGCTATTTCAACATTAAATTAAAGTTGTGGGAAAAGCGTCTCTGCCATAAAAGAGGAATTTCAAAGATGTTTTGTATCGCTTACGGTATTTTTCATACTTTTTCGGTTTCAGGTTACCACAGCTGAGGATTTGTCGTGGGATCCTCTTGCCCTTGTTCTCTACCCAACTGGTTAGGCTAACCTTATCTTGGACACTAAATTAATAAGGATGTCAGCGTGTCCGACAAAGTTTCTACCTCAAGAGTATCTGAACACTTTTTCTTATCGACTTAATGCAAACAAGTACAAGTGCGCTATTAAAGAAAAAATCTTGACTTCCCGAGGAAATACATGCGTAAAAGTAATCAGTTTTTTAATGGAAACTTAAGTACACAGATCAGGTTACGATGAGAAATGAAAAATAATGGGATCCTCCTCTCGAGTAACGGTGGTGTCATCAAGGTAACGACCTTAAGAAGAACAGATGTCCAGAGTCCAGGGAATTTGCATACTTGAACCGAAACCAAAGCCAAGCCAAGTCAGGCCGGGCCGGGCCAAGTTAAAGCCAAAACCCGCCCAATATAGAGCTTAGTGCGAGTTGGTGTTAAGTATGAGCACGAAAATGAGCAAAAAAAAATAATGAACCAGTACCAAGCTCGGCTCATGGTCGCATATTAGCATCCTGCGGAGTACTTCATTTGCGCCACTGCCTGCCTAAGCTTCTTGGTAGCTGGCCTCCGGTTTGGGCCAGGCCGAGATGCAAATGAAATATGCGCCGGCATTAAGAGCAGAATTACAAATTTCAGGGGAGTGCGAGCGGCGGCAGCTGCTTCTGCTGCTGGCTATATGGAGATGTGGCTGCACCATGGCTATGTGGCGCTCACGATGGCGATGGCGATGGCTATGGCGCTGCCTTCTGCACGGTGGCCATTTCCTGGCATTTTAACTGGTTTTGTTTGACGGTGGTTACAATTAGCGGCTATTTAAATTGCCACGCATGAGCCGCTATTAATTACGGAACGATGGCACCGCAGCCGAAACCGAGAAAAAGTTGTTTATGGCCGGTATGCGGAGCAGAGGAGCGGACTCGTGCAGACCACTGTGGACTGGAGCGGAGTGGAGTGGAGCAGTCTAACCGTTAAACGGAAGCTCAAATGCCTTTCAAGTACCGAAGTTCAGTTCACACAAGCGGAGAGCGTAGAATCCGATACCTTGCAGTGATTCCATTTTAATTGCTACATTAAGAAATTCAGATATTTATGGGTTCAATGCCTAAGAAAACAAACAAATTATATGGGCAGCCGCTTCTGGGGATTCAGTTTAGAAGCAAAGATCCCAAGTGATAAGATTGAAGTAATATTCTGGAGAACAAGCTTTTAACCAAACATATTCAGTTTCGTTTTCCAGCTTCCTGCTTGTTAAGCCACTGATTCGGACTCGGGGGAATCACATTTTATCAAAGCAGCAATTTGCACCTATCAGTCCATCGGCCGCCCGTTGATTGGTGATTGGTGTCCCTTTTTTGAGCCGCGCTTTTTATTTTCCCATGACACTCGTCTTGGCTTGGCGGCTCGGCCTCATCTCATCGCAATCACAACTAATGCACAGCTCCAAGTATCGGACTATGGCGTATGGAGACTCTAAATGTCGAATGAAGTCAGCGATAAATTCAGCTGGTTGATTAGCTGTTGGAGCAATAAATCCATCGCTTCACACCGCCACAAGTAATTGCCGACAAAGCGTCTTCGTCGCCGTCTTCATCTCCATCTCCATTTCGACAAAAAAGCTCAAGACGGGACTCGGGTCCAGGCATCCATCTATTCTATCGGACTCTGGGGCTCCGCCGCCAGTCTTGTCTCCCCGCTGCCGCCTCGCAACTTCCCTCGCCGAGTCCCGGCGACGACTTCCCTGAGTAAGAATGTGTGCTGGCCAATATTTTATCAAACCTGACATTTCCTCGTGTAGCTCCGATTATGGAGCCCGGGTTGCGACGAGGTCGCCGGAGAGCGGCATTGATTGCCACTGCCCATGTGTATTTATTCCGCTGCTTATGTTTATGTTGACATTGACATATCTCGCGTCTTATCGGTTTGCAATAAGTGTACGCTGGCCATCGCGAAACCACTGCAGAAATGAGCCGAGCCGAGCCGAGCGGAGAGCCGGCATCGCTTTAACGTTCTGTTCTGCCATCGCCAAGCCGCCAATGTCGCCATCCGAGGACGCTGGCGACAACTCCAGTGCTCATTGGAGCCTGCGTCTGGTGGTGTTTCGAGTAAAATGGACAATGACCTGCCGCAACGCAACGCAGCGAACGAGTTTGATCATTGATGGTGTTAATCTGTTATTTTGTAATGGAATTAGAGGGGGTATTTTAGTTTATTAAATCATTTAGATGGGGTTCATGTGTTCTATAAGTATTTTATAAGCACATAGCATCGATTTTTATACCTCTGAAGGATATTATAATTTTAGTCAGGGTTTCAGGGTAATGAAGGCCCTATAAACAATATATATATTTTTGATCAAAAACAGCCGAATTAATTTTTAAAATTGTACTTTAATTTTTAACTAACTACATTTCGAATTGGTTTTTCTTAGCTTAGATTTAGGTTAAATTATTTAAAGGACGGGATTTTATTGAAATTTGAACACATTATCCTTGTCATTTAAGGCATCTAAGAGCACAACTCGTTCTTCACTTAACTACTAATATTACTACCAATTTGCACTAAATAATGACTGTATGGCCATATATATATATATATATAAAAATATGTTTTCAACTAAGTACAATCGGTGGCCAATTTTCTAATGCTGAGCATTCAAGGCTTTGCGGTCAAGATTCATATTTACATAAATATTGATTTAAATCTAAGTACACCAGGTAGCATCATATAGGCATTTGTTGTAGAACCACTGGGCCATCCAAGCGTTTTTCTTGGTCATGTTTGTGGTTTCCTCGGCCAGATTGAAGCGCTGCAGGTCGAGCTAAAAAAAGTATATATATGTTTTAGTAAGAAATTATATTTAAATGTTATATTATTCCTACAATTGGTTTCGGGAAAAGACGCTTCATGTCGATGCGATGCAGGTGCTCCTGATGGGCTTGCTGCAGCATTTTATACTCCGATCCACTGAGGCAGGCCAGGCAGAGGTCACACTCGTCCTTGTTGCAGGACTTATCGCAGTCGTGGGCAGCGCATTTATTCAAATCGGTGGCCAAGTTTTTGTCAGCTGTAAGCATTTCGCTGCTCTCACTTAATCTGAAATGAATTAACATTTAAGAAAATAAATTTTCAATATATTAAGAGATATAATTAAGCTTACAAAGTGCCACCTGTTGCCTTGAGAGGACGAATTCCCACCAGATTGAAGACGCTGTACAGAACCTGTTCGTACAGCAGAGAGTTGGGCTTGAAGTGTGCCGAGGAGAGATTCGGCGACATGTTGGCCTCCATGAGGTAAACCTTCAAATCCTCATCGATGAACAGGTCGAATCGCATCAAATCGAAGAAGTTGTGCGTCCTGTAGGAGCGCAGAATATTGACAATGTCGTTCTCCTTGGCCGCTATCGTTGAGCGGACTATGTGCTCCACTTGAGGCCAAATCTTTGAAGGATCCATGCCCTGATCCCTTACGTAGGCTTCGAAGACGGTACGCATGCTGCCGCCGAAGCGATTGTAGAACTTCCTCAGCGAGGGAACCTCCCAGGTGGGCAGGTAGTCGTCGCCCACGATATATTTGTCCACATTCTCGGCGTCAAAGGGATAGTACTTCACGGGGCAGTATCGGAAGAGCACGTCCCCCGTGTAGATATAAGCTCGCAGAGGATTGACGGAGGTTATGACCACATAGACGCCTATGTCGAACTTGTGGCCATCCACGAGAAAGGGTCGCTGCACGAACTCCTGCACAAAGGAGTCGTTGGAGCCGAAGGCAATGTCCGCCGGCTCTCGCACCTTGATGTGCCTGTGTTCATTGTGCTTTTGGACAAAGAGAGCCTGCGGATTGTCGCGGGCGTAGTCCAGGAACTCCTGCCGCTGTGCCGGCAGACGAAAGGCGCGTGGCAAAAATGGCAGCTGTGTGGTGCACAGGTCCACCTTGTTGGTGAGGTACCCACAGCCCGGAAAGTGGTTTACCACCTGATTCTGGCCGAGACTCTTCAGGCTTGGGTGCGTGAGGAAGGGGTAATCGTGGGCCCATAGAAGGTTCCAACTCTCGTTCACGTCCACTCGCTTATATCCAAAACTCTGCAGCACATTCACCACGTGCACTAGGTGCTCCTCTGTGGGACTTCGGCCGAAGATGGCGTATGTGGGCGCGGCTTTTAGCTGATCTTCCGCAGCATCCGGCGGTAGCCAGGGGAAAAACCTGCTGTTGGCATGTGGCAACAGCTCCACCACCACCGCTGTGGTCACCGTGGCGGCCAGGAAGATCATAATTGGCAGCAATCCAATGCTAAGTGATGGTTTCTCATGATTCTCCTCTGTTGATTTTGCCAACTGAAAAAAAGAGAAAGTTTTCATTTGTTCATCGAAAAATGCCTCGAATTTGCCAAAAACTCACTTTGCTGTCAGCTTCCACCAGCTCCGGAGCACTGTCCTCCACCTTAGCGTCCATTTTTAGCCGAAGCCAAGTGCTATTTTAAAGTAGGAACAAGTACAAGCGACTTATTTAAAACAACCTTTTTAAATCTCGATCTGCGCATGCAGCGTTGCCAATTTAGCTATTTCCTCGCTGGATCCAGATTTATTTAGAACATTTTTGTAATTAATTAATTAATATAGGATCACTTCCTTGCGCATTGAAAAACATTTAAAGTTTAACAGTTTCCTTTTCCAAATTAGACTTATTCACTTTTTCTTATTTGCAATCCAGTTGGAGCATTACAGTGTGCCCAGTTTGTTAAAAATACCAGAAATCCAATAGAAATGGTGGTTGCTAGTGAACAAAAACTATGGCAACGATTGTTGCTGCCCTTTTGGCGGCAGTTTTAAAATAACCATCTCTGATTAAGGGTTAAATTTTAAATTTATTAATTATATAAACTTTTCTGTTTTTAAGCCTTTATATTTTCTCAGTGCCCGTCACGAAATATTTCAAAATAAATAATCTATTCATAAAACACTTTGTTTTGCTTTTAATTCCCTTTGTGTTGGGGCTTTTCCGTGTACACTCGAGGAAATGTATAAGCGCACCAGGGACACTGTGGAGAAAAAAAGGATTTACAGTCTCAAGGCGCTGTTCAAGAAAGTGGTCCGCAACATAAGCCTAAACAATCCGTGGATTGAATATGAAAATGATGACGAACGCGCTGTTTCGCGTAATGTCAAGAAAAATATATCCATGCGGGTGCGATCGAAGCACAAGTCCGGATTTCTTACTGTGGCGGTAATTAATATTAAAAAATACAAATAAAAATAAACATAACATATATATTATGTCATGTATGAACTTAAGGAAAAAGCTATAATTCGGACTCCGCATAAGTCTCGCACAATTCCGGAAAGAAGGAAATTGTGTTCCTTGTTCGCTACGCTCATTTGCTTTGAACAACTTAATCCAGTAAATTTTGTTACAAAGTTTGTATTATCAAAGATCTGAAGAAAATCCTTTTTAGAAACTGCGTGCCCGCTTAGTTCCAGTGATTAGGCTGCTGCCCATAACTCCTGGACGTTGTATTATTAGTAAGTCGGATTTTCCCATAACCGTATTTTTCATTGTGGTGGGCGAAGTCCGGATGATTAAGGGCATTGATAGTAAAGTAAGGATTTTATCTAGGAGTTGTTTAAATTGTATATAATCTTCCCTTTAAAATTAGGGCAACGAACTGGTGGAGGGCATTTTCGGTCCAGGAGACGTGATAGGCGAAGTTGAACTTTTGGAAGGTTGTTTGAGAACACACACCTTCAAGGCATCAAGTGAGTATTTCTAATGAATTATTTGTATATAGGTAGAATCTATATTTATTTGTTTAATTTGTAATCTATTAAACTGTTTATTAACCTGAGGTTTCTTTGGCCTCATACTGATAGCCCTAGTTTGATTTATTTGACAACTGCAAATTCTTTAGCTCAGGTCAACATTCAGTCTCTCTCCCTGTTTTGGTTTATTCCATTTAAAAATAAATCTAGAAATCATTTCGTTCCACTTCCAATTTTATCGCACTTAAGTTTGATAAGAAAGTGAATTAGGTAAACTGCAACATTTGCGGCTCATGTCGAAATAAATGGGAAATACATAGCCCAATCACGCGATTTATTTATACATAGCACTGTGTGTTTTTGGGAATTTGTTGTGTTTTGTTGCTTCATTTGCGATTGCCTGTACCCACCAATTTAATCAGCAATAAACAACGTTAAGTCCTAATTCGATTCAATCAAAATGAATAACAAAATACCCCGGCCCTCCGCCCCGGCTTCGACTCCAAGTCCAAGTCCGTCACGTGCCAGCTCCCCGAGGCAGGTATTCGTATTCCAACGAATATAGGTTGGCCCGAAACAACACCCGCCTTCCTTTGGCGCACTGATTTTTTCGGCTGTTTGTGTTGTGTTGTGTTCAGTTGCTTGTGCTCCTCGTTACTCCTCGTGCTGGCAATCTTTCAAAAACAGATGCACGCCACCAGTGCCACTAGTAGTGCCATCGGTGCCTCCAGTAGCTCCAAGTTCCACAATGTGCCCATTTCAAGTGAGTCCCAGCTATTGAACGCTTCACTTTGCACCTCGCAGCCTACTGCGAGCTACTGGTCCTCTTCGACTATGACTTTGCGGAGATTCTCAGTCCTTATATGACGAAGGCCTGGGACGAGAAGAAGCGAGCCCTCAAGGCTCTGGATTATTTTGATTTTCTGGACAAAGATCAGGCAAGTGGAAGAAGAAAGTTATCCCTAAACATAAAAGATGGACATCAAATTTCAAATGCAATTGTGTTCCTTGAAAAGATTTGAATGAAACTTCAATGTAAATTAATACATATTTCTGCAGATCGTGGAAGCCTGCCGACTTGGGACTCTTAAGCAGTACAGTCCGCTAGATACTATTTATGCCGAGGATGCGGGTTCCCTGACAGAGGTCCACTTTGTGCTCAGTGGAGAATGTCTCATATTGCAGTGCCTAAATATGGCGGTGAGTTATCCTATCCACTATATATATCCATTCTACAAAGATTATATCATTTAGGTCACGATGAAAAAAGGTAAACGAGTTTTCCGGCTCATGGCCGCACATGAAGACGAAACTTCGAGAATGCTTAGACAAGGCGTGAAATCCCAATATTCCGCCCTAAGTAAACGTAAAGACGAAACTGCTTCACAAGCGGAAATTAGTCGCCTTGTGGAATCCAGTTCCAGTTCCTCCGACAGTGATCCGAATTCCGTCAAGCAATTGGTGAGTTTTTCTAAAGGTTTTTCAAAAGTTTGTTAACCTAAAAACAATAGTAACTAAAGCTTTCTGAATTGAAATTATTAGAATTCTGGCTTAGTTATGATCGATTTTTGATTCAGTCTCATGCAAGGGTGTACAGGGTATACAAATTTCGGCTTCTGAAAGTTAGTTTCCTTCCTTCTTTTGATTTGACATTATTTTATAATTTGACAGATGCGTAAAATGAATTTGCTAGATATAGAGAAGTCATGCGGTTTGATGAAAGAGATGATGGAGCAACGCACTTCGAATTTCGCTTCTAAAAAATCTCGGATGTCTCGCATGTCGCGGGTGTCTCGGAGGTCTTCAGACAAAGATCAGGATTTTAAAGAAGAAAATGGTGATGATCATTATGAAGATTATTGGGGGGAATGGACATTTGATGATGAGGTCGAAGATAATGACAAAAATGATGTTAAATATAATGAAAAAGGCGATGCTGAAGACGATGGGCCTAAATTTGATGTCACAGCCCCTTTCCCGGCATCACATTTAAATCTTCAAGATTCCGAGTCCGATGAAAGTGACATCAGATTAAAATTATCATCGAGTTCTTCCTCGAGTAGAGAAGGTGTAACCGTAAGTCTCCGGAGATAATAGTTCCTTATCAGTATTTTTGCAATATTCTTAGCTTATATTGTTTTTTATTATTTATTTTATAATGCCAATTTAATTGCAGAAACCAGTTATTGAGAGCCGCTTCATCGACGTGGGATCTATTTCATTTGGAGGAATCTTCGGCTTGGGAGAGCAGATGAAGCATCGCGTAATAATGGCCAGGACAACGGTTCAGTGCCTGACATTGCCCAGATTTTTTCTAATGGAGCACAAGCAGAACCCTGGCAATATCTGGGAGCGCCGGCTATTCTATCTGGAGTGCATGATCCCGTCGCGGGAAGCCCTGTTCCAACAATTCCTCAAGACTCGCAAGTGGAAAAAATTCAAAAACGATTTCATTCGACAAACTTTGAAGTCATCCCACAATCATGGCACACAAAGAGAAGACATTCCAATAATGTGCAGAATCGTTGAATCTGCAGAGGCAGGCGGCATTGGTTTTTCAAAATAAATTGAGTCAGGGCTGTTCTCACCTCTTCTTGTTTGGTTAAAAATGGCTTAAATAATAAGCTAATTTTGGTCTAACAGGAAAATGTAGCTATGGCCCTGTAAAATCGAAAGAATACAATTAATAAAAAATATATTTTTAAGCTCTTAATCAGGATTATTAAATATTAATATGTTCGTTTTATACTTAAGTCGCAGTCACCTTTTAACGTCACTGGTATTACGTCTTTCGGTGGTATTTATAAGTCAGGAATCCTGAAATAAACCCAATAATTATGGTGGCTATTCACCTGAAAGTTTGTCTGAAGCAACAAGTAGTAGCAACGTCAGCTGGCGTAGTGTTTTGGCACCCAAGGTGTTGACATGGCAACACGTAGCTATCGAGGTTTCCAGGCACATACGAGCACCTTCCTCGGTCAGTATTGATTCAACCTTTTCCACGGATGTTGCCCGAAAAAATACTAAAATGACGACAACGAGCTTACCAAGGGTTCCCGAGGGTCTAAGGGACCTCATGAAGGTGTACACCAAGGAAGTGTTACGTGAAAAACCAGCAGATCTGTACGGATTTTCCGCAAAGTTCTTTAATTTGATAGTTGCGGAAAAGTCTCATCAAGTTGTGCGAAAATACGAGCCGGTTCAGACTTACGAAACCATCATGAAAAACCGCATCAAACAGCAGGTGCCCATCTCGATGGTGTTCAATATAATTCCCGAAACACTCACCGATCTGATCAAGAAGTTTATAAAAGCTGTTCTAAGAGAAAAGCCGGAAAACATATATATCTTTGCCCAGGAGTATTTTCAAAGGCTCTCGAAGGAAAAGTCAGGTCGAATCGAGTACACAAAGTATTCGACATACGAAAAGTCAATTAAGGACAAAGAGAACATAGCCCCCGTTTCGAAGGTGACTTGCGAATGTGGCCGAGTTCTTAGTGCGCAAAGCAAGGATCTTACAAAGGCAGTATCCACTGAAACCACAAAATTAGGGACTACTATCACAGAGGAGACTACCCTATCGAGCAGCATTAGCTATGTGAAATCGGTTGTCGTTATTCAACGTCATTTCCGTCGATATCTGAAGCAAAAGAAAATAGGTCGTGAGAAAAACAAGTGCAATAGCGTGGAATACATGACAGCCATCATTTTAATCCAACGGCAATTCCGTCGCGTTTTGGCCAAAAGGCGAGTCGAAAAACTTAAAAAGTCCCGGCCTGGGCAACTTTCCTACGTTAAGTTCAATGCAGCTAACTACATGAAAGCCGTAGTCGTAATCCAGCGACACTATCGTATATATTTAAAAAGGAAGCAGGAGCAAAATCGATTGAAAAACGGCCCAGTTTCCTTAGCGACAGCGGCTTTAATAATCCAGAGAGCCTTCCGCAGGATGGTAGCAGTTCGAAGGGCCAGGAGAACGGCATCCGTGACCGCAGATCCTGGCGAGGAGCTCAACGACAATGCCTCCGAGACCGGTTCCTACACATCCGTTTCCACGGCCCTTCTCTCAACGGAATCGACCGAACTGGGAATGGCAAATTACGAGGAAAAAGTCCACCAGAAAATAATTCACGAGGATGAGGAAGTGGAGAACAATAACGTGGATGCCAGCCTAGAGAAGGAGTATTTGGCAGAAACCATTAAAGGCGATGACAAATCGATAGGCCCAAGGAAAAGCGGTAATTAACTATGCAAATGGTTTTCGATACAAGTGAATCATTGTAATGAAGTGTTTCTTTGTTCTTATAATTATTAAATACTTTCTTAGATTTTAATCATTTGCATACTTTTGCAGAAATACTTGGTCTGGAAAGGGAAAAGGATCTGAATAGCGAGCTATCTGGAATTGAGGCCGAGAAACCGCTGAGCCCGGTAATCGAGGATGAGTTTACACCAATGAAAGAAAGCAAACGGACAGGATCTGCTCAAGAAACAGCAATTAAAACTAACAATAACAGTTTAGAAATAAAAGAGGAGAACGAAATGCTCCTAGAAAGTGATTCAGAGAAACCAGCAGAAATTGAAGATGAATTTACAGCCATTAAAGCTGGCAGCAAACTGGATTCTTCTCCAGAAACTGCCGAAATCGAGGATGAATTTACAGCCATTAAAGCTGGCAGCAAAGAGGATTCATCTCCAGAAACTGAATTAAGTAAAAAATCGAGCTTAGATCTACAAGAGAAAACCAATGCTGAACTAAAAACATTGAAAGCCAGTATAGAAGAACTACAATTGGAAATTAAAGATGATCTTAAAGCTATTAAGGATCAAGAACTGGAAAACGAGGTAAAAACTGAAGACGGTAACGAAGATTCTGCAAATTCAAAAGGTGTGGTCCTTGAAGGCAATACAACACATAAAAAAATTACAAGTATTGAAAGTGAAGACATAAAGGAACTTGTCTCTACAGAGATAGAAGACTCGCTACATAAACAAGAAGAAGATAAAGACAAAGATATTTTAATCAAAGCAACAAGTCCGTTGACTAAATTAACTAATTCTGAGAGCCAAGAAGTGGCAGATAAACCCATTAAAACCGAAGTTACTCCTAAGGTTTCCATAGAAGTTGAACTTGTGGATGATGTTCTAGAGGAGGATCTGTCTGATCCCTATAGTAAGCATTTAATAATAAAATGAATTATCTTATAGTACAAAATAAATATTTCTTGTAGTAATTAATCCAGGAAATGAATTATCAGAAGGTGACTACTTGGAAGAGCAGCCTAGAAGTATGCCCACCGTTGAGATAGATAGTCTAAAAACGGTTTTAACCAATCACAATCGGGAGGTCCAAAAACAAGGTATTAAAACATTTAAATTTACATATTATGACAATAATTATTAAACCTTTTTTTAAGAAATTTCCAAAGAAATTATACCCGATGAAGATACTGAAAAAAACGAAGATATTGTAAAACCAACTGAAATCGAGGCTCAAGAAGAGGCCTTTACTGCAGCAAACAAGTCTACAAATAAACAGAATAGGGAAGACTCTCTCATAAAAAGAGAAAAGAGAAGCCTGGATGACACAGAAGATATTGTAAATCACTCTCAACCGGAGAACGTGGAGTCCACAGATGTTGTAAATAAATCCATTGAGGAATTCCCTTCCATGACTGAAGAAAAGAAAAAAATTGAAGTCGTCGAAACCCAATTGAATTCAGTTGACCAGGATTCTTTAGACAAACATAAAAATGAAGTTTCTCCTTTGACCAAGAAGAAAAGAAGCCTTAATGATACAGAATTAAGTTCACCAAAACCCAGTTTCGATATTCAGGAGCCAATAAATCCTGACGACGCACAAATCGAAAAGGAGGAAAACCCAGTAGAAAAAGAGCAACAAGGTAGTTTGACAGCATCGGAAACGATTCCGGAAGTGGACAGTAAATATAAAGAGGAAGTAGCGGCTAAACAGGAAATAACAGACTTGGTAGACGCTGAGACTGGAGAAATTACAGTATACAAACCTTTAGAAGAAATCACCGAACTATCGAAGCAAGAAATCGCTTCTGACCAAGCCCCCCAAGCAGGTTAGAATTTATTAATATTCAGTCATTTATTTTATATTAAAAGGAATACTTTATTTTTAATATTATTTTTAAGACGTAATAAGCGATTGTAAAAATGATGAAGATGAAAAGCGTGAAATGGAAGCTGAACCTATTGTCTCTGATAGAATAAATAGTTTAGAGACTTCTGAATTATTAGGTAAATGGTATTACTAATAAATTAAACAATATATCATCTTACCTTAATTTTAAATAGAAACTAAAAAAGAAGAAGCTCAAATAATAAATCACTTAGAAGAGGCCGTTGGTCTTTTAATGGAACCCAAAACCAACCAGGAGCAAACAAATATTGAAATTTGTCCAGAAGAGTCCATCAATTCAATTGGTAAGTAAACTTGGGGTTTTAAATTATCTTTTTATAAAATAAAAACAATATAAATATAGAAAATGTTTCTGGGGATTCGCCTAAAGTATTAGAAGAACCCGGAAGCTTAGAGGAAAACAGAAAACTTTCGCACCAAGAAACCATGCCAATTGGTTTGGATCTCTCGCAAGTCGAAGAAATTGCATCAACTGATGATATTGCAGTTGTAGAAACAAATTCAATAGAGGATACAAATATTGAATTGGTAAATTCAAATGAGGAAGCAATCACTGGTAAGCCATATAATATTTTCATATTAAGAACCTAGATAATCAAAAAACTACTCTTTGTAGCTGAAACCACTGTAGAAGATAAAAATAAAAGCAAAGGAATTGATGAAATATCCACCAGTAAGTAATTCTGTTAGTGTATATTTTTATAAATGATTATTAAGCTCTAAATTTATTTTATGCGATAAAGATACTTCAATCACAACAATGGAAGCCGAATCAGAACGTTCAAAACGTGATGTTGATGATTCTAACTCCAATAAAAATTCTCTAGATCCAAATGGTTTGTTATTAGAAATTAGATAACATTTAACAAATTTCAAAATATGTATTTTTAAATAAAGTGGAATCGGCTACACAAGCTGACGAAATGGGGGTTACTGAAACAACTGGAAAACCTACAGCAGACAACGCCCAGAAAAGTACAGAAGGCAATGTGGACACTCCTGCCTTAGCAGTTCGTAAGTTTATTCGATTTCCGTATTAAAGTATGATTATTAAGAATATAAATTTCTAGCAGAAATATCTAAGGAGGAACCTGAAATTATACAACCCGAGGAAAAAACAAACGAAACCGAGTCCTTTGACCCAGAGACCCTTTCAGTTGAAGATAGAAAATTAATGGATGAACGTTCAGAATTAGAATTAGATTCTTTGAAGTCTGAGGTGTTAGAAGGTATGTTTTAAAGACTAATATTTTTAAATTATATAAGCTTATATTTACTTTTATACATTTCTTGAAATACAGAATCAGATAACAGAATATCTATCGATCAAAGTCCCGAAATCACTGGTAAGGTTGACTTACCAAATATTTTTAAAATTTAATATATTATTATTTTAAGATAACTTAATGGATTCGAAAGAAAAAGTAATGTCAACTTCATTAGAAAAGACCCCTTCAATGGAAAGTTTCAAAAACAATGAAAAACGAGCTGAAGATTGTACCGTTGCAGACCCTGCGCTAGAAATTCGTAAAAATATTTATTTATTTATATATATATAATTTTTAAATTTATACCAAATATTTTATTACATTTTAGCGCCTATATTAGAGGAAGAAAATACGGTATCTTTAAGTGGAACAGATCCAGAGATCATACCAACAGAAAGTAAGAATACTAAAGAATCCGAAATACCCATACCTGACCGTCCTGGCGAAGGTGAGTTTAGATCCTTAATGTTCAATTTATACTCATATTGATTTAAATATATATTTTACATTTGAAGCCACGGATCCCAAACAGCAAGACGATAAACCTATTCCATTGACTGAGTCCAGTTCTAGCAAGGATACCCCCAATGATATTTTAGAAAGTCTAGAAGAAACAAGTATGATACCCTTTATTATACCCTTTCAGGGTATTATAATTTAAGAAAGAGCCATTTCCGACCCCATAAACCATATATATTATTGATCAGCATCAACTAGCGAGTATTTCTAGCCATGTCTGAAGGAAAAATTTTTCTTTTAATTTTTTCAAAAATTTATAAGGGGTTACATCATTAAAATTCTTAAAAATCGAAAAAATGTAAATCTCTTAGAATTTTAAAGATTTGTTAACCTAGAAACAACTAGTATAGCACCGCTTTCCGAATTGAATTTGGTGGTTTTTTAACTTAGTTATGATTGATTTTTGATTCGATACCATGATCCTATGGCAAACTGCAAGGGTATAACAATCTCTGTTGCCCGAACTTATATTACTTAATACTAAATATATAAATATGTTACTTAATATGCCTTATATTTGTAGAACCCGAATCCGATTTAAAAAAAGAGGATTCAGTTGCAGATCCAAGTGCATCCCAGATTGAAGATGCACCTTCAGATCGTGAAACCAAACCAAAAGAATTCGAAACCTCAAAGGTGGAACAAAGCAAACAAACATCCTCTCTTGAAGATACAATCAGTAAGTTGACAGTCACATAATCTTCAATCTCTAAGTTCTTATATTATCATTGACATAGCTCCCACTTCAAATGAGAAAGTCCCCACAAGTACCCCCTCCCAGACCGAAGTAATTACTGGTAAGAGTTCAGAATCGAAACCTTCTTAAATTTGTTTTTAAATTAGCAGAAAAAGTCTTCATTGCTTGTATCTAATCAATTAATTGGCACCCAAAATTTACCTACTAACCGTAATGAGATTGAAAAGAACACCAAGAAGTTGTCTAGCGCAAGCGTAAAAGATAAAGATATTGGCACCTCGGGTCGTCTGGTGCCCACACCAATTGCCGAGCTGCAGCTCAAGTCATTCAAAGCTCCCAACGACGACGGCGCCTGGTATGATATCTATGTGGAGCCCCAGCAGCCATCCGACAAGGATTTACATAGCCCACCTCCGGCAGCTTCAGTTTCAACTAACCAAACTGAGAAAAAGCAAGACATAACTCCGGAAATGGAACCCATTGTTGTTGCAGAAAGAGTTCCCAGTTACTATACGCCCAAAGAAATTCTTGAACCCAGTGTTCCAAAAGCTAAGAACTCAATTTCATTCTTCGTTTCCTTTGATTCTGATGATGGCAAGCCCAAGTACAAAATACCCAAAAAGTTTCGGGATCAATCGAAAAGCGATACTTTAGCAGACACGAAAAGTGACCCAGAACCCGAAAATAATGAAGAAGATATTGAAGTAATTGAAGTCTCGGAGGGAGATCCCGAATACCAACAGATGGGCGGATCCAAACTGCAAACCATAATGGAACTTAACGAAAATGAATGTAATAATGAGGGCTCAACTTTACATGGAGAAGAGACAGAGTCGTCAAAGGATTTAATCGATAAAGAGAAGAGTGATTCGGAAAGTTTTATAAGATCTGGAGATCTCAAGTTAGAAAGCTCCACAAAAACTGATACCGAGCATTATGAATCAGTTTACAAAACAGATATTTTAAACCTTACGAGATCTGTGCAGATTATAGAAAGAGCTTATAGGCGCTTTAAGAACCGACGCTCACTAAAGAGGCAAGAAATCACGGATAATAAAAAGAAAAATAATGCTGCTAAAGTGATACAAAAATGGGTTAGGGACTTTCTAATCAAAAAGTCTCCAAAAGTAACCTCAGATATTTCTCGGGGAAATCAGGAAAGCCTAGCTGCCCGAAAAATTCAGAGAGCTTATAGAAGATACGTTGAAAAAGCTAAAGGTAGTAATTTAGAAAAAGAATTTATTTTACAAGAGGAAGCAGAAAAGGAAAAAAGAGCAGCACTTATAATTCAAAAGGCCTTTAGGGCATATTCTCAGAAGAACCTGGCTAAGTCAAAGAATGAATCCTCTGATAACATTAAACTAAAGGAAAATCAAGCTGCTAGAAAAATACAAAGGGCTTACAGAAGGTATTTAAGACAAGCCAATAAGCCAAAAGTCTTACTTGACTCTGAGTCAGAACCTATTCAAGTTTATAAGTCAACAGAAAATAATGCTAGTCCGAAGTCGTCGGCCTTGAACCCAGATGAAATCAAAGAGGAAAATATAACTCAAGAAGATAATTCTAGACCAAGTTCTAGTCCGGTGGAGGATTTATCAGATTTGTCAGAACTAAATCAGCATCAAGCTGCCGACAAAATTCAAAGGGCTTACAAAAGGTATTTACAAAAGACCCACAAGCCAAAAGTGATACTTGACTCAGAGTTAGAGGAACCTATTACAGTTTATAAGTCAACGGAAGTTACCTCAAATGAAGTCAAAGAGGAAGTTAAAACTCAGGAAGCTAATTCTAAGCCAAGTTCTAGCCATGCACAGGATCTGTCAGGCTTGACAGAATTAAATCAGCATCAAGCTGCCGAAAAGATTCAAGGGGCCTTTAGAAGATATTTGAAAAAATCCAAAAAGGCAGAGATCAAAGATTTTAAATCAAAAGACTCTGTAAAAATCGATAAACCTATAGGTATACCGAGCCAAAGTGAAAGCTTGTCAAAGGACGAAGGCAACCGAACTGCGAATGCTGCCCTAATAATTCAAAAAGCCTTCAGGCAATATATGGAACGAAGAAAACTAGAAAATCTAGATGAGATCTCCCTGGATTCAATTACCAGTTCTCGCATAACGGCCATCGAAAACTCCTTATGTCCCACTGAAGGCACACCATCCGATAGCCTGATTCAGGAGGAAATACCAAGCGAAGATGCAACGCAGATTAGTCCAAAGTCCGAGTGGTTTGTGGGATCCACTCGCATAGTACCAAGCCAGGAAGTCGTTGAAGAACCTCTTGAGCTAGAAACCGAACCGGATCCGGCTGAAATCACACGTAAAACCGAGCTCGACACCAGCACGCAAGTAGAATCAGTTGAAACAGTAGATAGATCGCATGGCTCGCTTGAATCCAAATTAACTCCTGGTATTATCAGTTCCGAAATCGATGAGAATCAAGCCAATACATCTAAGCAGGATAATGCTGTCTCTTCTGGTTTAGCAGGTTTAACCGAGGCCCCAGAAGCCGGGAGCCATGCGGAGGATCAAGTACTTTTATCACAGTCCGATATTGGCAGTATTTTCCAGAGTAAGCTATTTAGAGATAAATCCTTTTCAATTAAACATATTATTTGTATTCAGCTCTAGATATGGCATCGACTCAAGAGCTAGTTAATGATTTCTTGATGAACGAAATTCACTTTTCATCCGCTCAAGGACCGTATATGAATGGAAAGCAACTCCAAGAAGTTGTAGAGGAACCTTGCATCAAAAGATCAGCTTCACGAGTGAGCCTTTCTGAAGGGGAAACAGGGAATGATTCCTCAAAATCGGAAGCTACTGGCTTGGATACCCTATCCGCAGATACCATAGACAAGGCAACTGTCAAGCTGTCAAAGCCCGAAGAAGTGATTGAAAAAATGGCACAACTAAGGGACTCCAAGTCTAGCGAGAGAATCCTATCCGCAGAACCCAGTTTAGATGAACCCATTGTCAGACCCATGAGTTCTCTGCAGGAACAAGCCAGCTTGGACATTGAGGATGGAGATATTATCGTATACAACCGCCTTCAGCGGGACGAGACCCGTGAAAGTTCTGCCCAAAGTGACTCTGTAGTCTTTGGGGAGGCAGAATCCGATAAAATTCTAGACAGGGAACTGGCCACTGAGGAGGAGTCCGGAAGAGTGCATCTAATGAGGCATTACACCATCGCTGGAGATGATCCCAGAGGCCTATTCCGATCAGTGACCATTGATGATGCTCTGAGTTACGGTGAAATGGCCGAAAAGGACCTAGATTCAAGCCTAGGCATCAACAGTACGAATAGCTTTTACTTGGACGACGAAACCTCGGAAAATATTCGCAAAAAGATGATGGCTTATTCGCTATCCGAAACTGATTCCGATTACTTTGACCCCAAAAAGATGAGCAAGGAGGACTTTGACATAGACACGGCAATGGCGGATGCCATGGGCACGTCCACAGAAACAGAATCGACCATTGTTTCAGCAGCCACAAAAATCCAAGCCGGAGCACGGGGTTTCCTGACCCGGCGGAGGTTGCGTCGCGCAAGTGCTGGAACCAAATCGTCCACCATGGACACCAAGGCGTCCTTTGGCAATGATGCGATTAGCGAGTCTTTGGAGCGATTCATCGAGGAGGAGGCAGCGAAGAAGATACAAGCCGCATACAGGATTCACACCCGCAAACGCAAGGGCAACCCCCACCGGATGGAGGGCATCAGCTTGGAGAGCAACCTAGCAGCCAGGCGCCAGAAGCTCCAAAGAGGCGATGCTTTGCGCAATGACTCGACTCCCGATGATGAGAACAGTGGATCCACCAATAGCGGACAGACACAGAAGCTCTTGAAAAATGAAAAGCGAACCAAAGCAGTTGGTAAGTCTAACTTAGGCGAAGACAAACTTAGGAATATGTCAAAAATTTGACTTTATTACTGCTTTCATTTAAAATAAATTTAATTTTCTTTAGAATGTGATACACTCCCTAATTTCCAGGTGAGGCCAAGTCCAGAGCCGCTATGGAATTAAAGTGGCTCACAATGAGGCAGAACTCAATGCCGGTTCAGATCGATTGCGAAGTTTTCAGAGTTATACCCAAGCACATGCGAAAACGTATCAAAAGCGCCGAGGCAGGCAAAAGAAAATAAATTATTCGAATATACAAGTACATATATATCTTTGCTGAAATATATCTAAATAAAAAACCTACATATATATTTACCCGAAAAATGTTTTTGTTATCAAACAAACGGAAGAGCGCACCCCGGAAGCTCATCCTGCTTATTTTTCTATATTTAAATTAAATTATTTTATTCCGACTACGGATGAACGGATAAACATTGAACGGACTTGACAGTTTTACGATACGTGGGTGTGCCAACGTAGTTCGTAAATATTTACCCCTCCCAGCTAGCATCCTGATCTCGTTCAGATACTTTCGCCAAACTACATATCTTTGGATTTTTCCCAACTGGAAAATTCCAAGCCTCTGCTGGCAGTGTGTGTATAAATTGGGGTGTTCGATAAATTAAATGTTTATTCACTGTATTCGTAGCACATACATACAAACTGACCCAAAAATAGGCCTACAGAAAATACAAACAAATGTCTAACGTTAATGGATAATGTTGTCTTTCAAGATTGCGGTTTCTTGAGTAGAGTATTTTATTCTTCTGGAAGCTATCGTTAATGATATTAAACTATTTACACGACACATATTGAACTAGGCGGTAGGTATAACGTATTGCTGTGCAACAGCAATATTTGAATACACATAATAATTGTATGTACAGTAGAAATCAGAGTTGTGCAACACGCCCAGAGCCACTACACCACGGGGTCGCATTGTTTTAGCTCCTTTCGGGCCTTGAATCCTCGAAAGCCAGCTTGGATCTTCACTGCAGCGTCGGTGGCGATTTTCTGCTTTTTGCGGACCAAGAATCCCCGGAATCCTGCTTGGATCTTGGTGGCGCAGCGATCCTCCACGGATTTTCCACCATTTTCCCCGTTTGCCTTGGGATCGTTGCTGGTGGCATTGCTGGGGCGAGACGCGTTTCCCTGATTTTCCATTAGGGCGTTGTTCTGGGGACGTTGGCGCTGGTTTCTCCGGGTATTACTGTTTGACTTGCTATTGCGGTGGATCTGCTTGCGAACGCGGTAGCCTCGGAATCCGGCCTGGATCTTGATGGCCGCACTTTCTTCGGACTGCAAGGACGATGCTGATTCCGGGGAGCTCGGGTAAATGTACATGATCCTCTGCTGCACGGCGACGAAATTGGGATTTGGCTTGGCTGGGTGCAAGGCTTGGCAAAAGTGAGTCCGCGTCTACTCCCAAAACTGTACGGATTGCATCGATTTCGGATGAACGTGCTCGGCCGAGATCTAAAATTGTACTGACGTGCAACAGATGCGGGCTTGGCATATGTACGGCGAGAATTTTCATTTCATTTTCATTCACAAAACAAAGGCCCCACTCAGCGAGAATCCGCTCTGCCACTCACCTCCTCCCACACGTCCGTGTCCGCGCCTCAGTGTCTTTTGTATCTACACCGCTGAAGCTGCTCGCTGTATTTGTATCCGCCAGATACATGTAGAGGCGCTCTCTCGAAATTGGGCAGGAACTCACGGATTCTGGTGACGTTCAAGAATTTTTATTTCAGAATATGTAGAAGCGTGTTAGAAGCAATTATCTAATTTCGCCAGCGATCTGAGTGATGGGCAACCCAATTAAACCATAAATAACAAAGCGGATCGATTGCGTAATATCAATATCAATATCAATATCCTTTTCTTGATTCGTGCACGAGTCGTGTTAAAAAACTACTCTTCACGCACCAATCACTACTTTGGATCACTGCGCATTTGTTTACGTTACTTGGGGCCTACGTAGAGGGTGGCGGCAAAAAATAGAGTAAATTGGTTTAGGTGAAAAGCGAGCCACTGGATACACACAGATCCATCCCCACCAGAGCCGTGGGCAATCAAAAGAACATCGAGTGCATCGCTTTGTTAATGGCAGTCGATGAACATCCAGAGGCACGGGGTTAATTGGAAAATATGCACACACATGGGCACAAATATCCAGAATATGAATTTCAATTAAACCTTTATTGTTTGTCGTTCGCATTATCTTGACCCTGTGCTCGATGCAGAGTTCAAAGTTCCTCGTTATTAATAAACACATAACAAATACACATTTTAAACAACTAGATAGTTTCCTTAAATGGATTTCCCGTCACAATTTATTTATATATTTCGTTGGATTATTTTTCGGTCGCCTGGGACTCTGGAACTTTTTGGGAAAAATCCAAAACAACAAGTTTCGAATTTAATCAATAAATTATAGAACAACTTGACGTCATTGGGGGACCTTAAACGCAGCAGTGGAATGGCGTCATTAAAAAACAAATGTATCAGAAACAAATATTATTGTTAAGTCGACAGAAATAATAAAGTAATTCGGTGGATAAATAAATATTGTGTGGAACAGGAATGTAAAGATTTGCTTCCGGAAATTCATAAATTCGAAATGCTTATATATGCCATTGTATTGAAACGGCAGGAGCCTACGTAACGTTTACGTATTTTTGAAAATTTGTGCTCATATAGAGTACATTTCTGCGTACGTATGTTTGTGGATGTGCATGCGCAAATATACTAATTGAGTTTTGTATAAAAGGAAGTAATAAACGTTCTCAAACAGAGGGAAAAATATTTTTAAAAAATTGGCAAGCCGCCAAGGTAATATGATTGGTTTCTGTGATTTGTCCGAATGACGTAGGCATACAAAACACACTCGAATGTAGAGCGAAATTGTCGATTTTTTGCAGAAAGTTGGAGGGCGCCGCTGCCCTTCTACATATATTCTGTGCGAGCATCATCAATAAACAAAACAGAGATCTTGCTTATAATCTAATTTTTTCTAATGTAAACAAACTTGGATATTTATGTAACCGAAAGTCAGAAGGCACGTCCACGTCTGACTTATGCACTGTAATTGTAAGGGGGCTCCCTCTAGATCCAGAAAAGCACAAAAATTGTTTTTTTTTTACTTTGGAAAGTTAAATATCTTGGCATTCCGATATTTTATTACATTTTGGAATAACCAACAAGGCATCTTAAAATTTTAATTTGAATGTAATCAAGTTATATGTTGCAAATAAAATATTTTAATAAAAATTCATTTTTGTTTTATTTTATTAATTTAAAGCAAAACTAATTGCTTAAGAGAACACCAAATTTCTCAAATTTTAATAAATATATCGGATTTTTTATCGAACATTTTCCGTTATATTTTAGTTTTTTAAAAACTCTGTTGTAAGCCAATTAATTAAATATTCAAATTAAGCGATATATTAAGGTCACAAGTAAAATAAACCAACATAAAACTTCGCACCGTAAAATGACAATATTTTTGATTGAGCTGATCAATAATAATAATAAATATCGATTCAAAATTTTTTGTTTAATTCGAAAAGCATACAAATTTAGGGAAAATTATATAAATAAATAAAACAATTATAAACATTAAAAATTAAGTGTCGTACATTGAACCAACTGATCTAATATAAAGAAAGGACTTTTCATAAATTGCAAAATGTTTTTCCATAAATTAATTTAAGAACGGACACTCTGCTCTGCTCTTTCCTTCTATTCTATTCTCATTTTTAAATGTTATTTAAAATTAAAATGACACTTTTAAAAACCGATTATTGATCTATCGATTGCACTATCGATTGTCAAGAAAACGCCAACGATGAATGTGCAATAGGTGTATCGATATACCATCTAGTTTTGCAGCTGTATTTTCTGGGAAAACAATAACAAAAATTGTTAAAACACAAAAAACAATTAATTGCGATGCGCTGGCCGTAATAATAATTTATGGTAATGGCAAGTAGCTCCAGCTCCGACGAAAGTTGCAAGGCCCCCGACAACTTCCGCATATCGAGCGCCTCGACGAACGGCGAGGAGGACGAAGCAGGATACACAACAAAGAGAAGGCCCGCTGGAAAGGCAAAGGAGCCTCCTAGGGCCAATGCCAATATCAAGGATGCGGGCGCGGGCATGCGGTGTCCGCTGTGCCACAGCTGCAGCGCCAACCGTTACCACTGTCGGAATTGCGTCAGAAACGGGAACATTACTCACAGCCAGGCAGAGAGGCCGGAAAGGTTCGTTTTTGTTGGCCAGTTGCCTTATCGGGATTGATCGATCTTTGTCTTTTCAGTTTAACGGAGAAGCAGCAGCGCTACATCAATCTGCAGGCGGGGCTCAAGACCTTCAGCAGTCGCTATGAAAAGCTGATCGAGCAGCACCGCTCCAACGAGAATCGCCTGATGGCCATCAAGGCGAAGAGAAAGCAACTGGAGTTGATCCACCAGCTGATCGGCAGCACGGGCCAGAGGCTGCGCGTCTTGGGCGAGCGGCGCGATGAGCTGCGACGGGCCAACGCTGAAAAGCGCAAGAACCTACCGAAGTATCCGGACAAGGTGAAGATGCTGGAAGATTACGTCCTGGACAGAGTGGAGAAGATCGAAACGCTGAGGGAGACCCATTGTCAGCTGCTAGACGGCATTAAACAGGCGGCACGGCGCGGCATCCAGCAACTGGTCACCTATATTTTCCCCATCGCAGAGGTGGTCCTCAAGGAGGAGCAGCAACGCAGGGCCAGCGTGGAGCGCAGCGAGGAAGCGGAAACCATTGCAGCCCTGGCGGATGCCAAAAACACCTCGTACATACGCGGCAAATGGGTGTTCCATGGCAGCGGAATCAGCGAGGTTCAGTACCGCATCGTCGGACCTTCGTTGCCGGCCAATGGCGATTACACCGCCTACCTGGACTGGCTGGCGGACAACAAGGACGATGTTCCGAAGGCCACCGCCAACGAGATTACGCCTAGCAGATTCGAGGCCTACCGAATTGTCGGCGCTCTTACCTACACGGCACAGCTGACGCAGCTGCTCAGCTTCTACCTGAACGTGCGGCTGCCGCACAAGATCGCTTATGGCGACTTCTGCCGCAAGTTGCTTAACGAGGAGCAGTTCCGGCGAAAGATATCGCGTCTCAACTCCAACATCATGTATCTGGCCTACACGCAGCAGGTAAAATTGCGCGCGCTCAACGAGCAGCACACCTTGGAGAACCTGCTGGCCATTCTCGATCTGGAGCGCAGCGACCTGGGCCGCTTCGGTCATCTGGATGTAACGAATGCGCCGCTCATGAAATCGGTAGACTCTCTACTAATCGGCATCGAAACGGCCACGGAATCGGAGTCGGAGGGTGAGCTTAAATTTAAATTAAGATACAAAACCTAGATAGATTTGATTAGATATATATGACAAGCTGAACTTTATCCCCTCTTTCAGATGAAAACTCTCTGCGCATGGACTGGGAGGCGGTGCCTAGCCTCACTCCGCAGCCGGAGTTAGCGGATCCCAATCAATTGCCGGCGGCCAACCAGCAGTCAACCATTGCCTTTGTGCGAATGGCGGCCACGTCGGTGCTGCGCTGGATCAAGTGATCAATGGTCCTCTCCGGCGATATCAGGCACGTGTGTTATCCTTTACAAATTAGGCTAAGTTATCGTTTCTGTGACAGCGTGCAGTAGTCGCTGGTTTTAGCGTTATCTTTCGGTTTACAGAACTAACAATTTTGTGTCGTTCTTCAATCACATAAATACATATACATATATGCTGTGTAAAAGAAGGAGCACCTGGTTTTTACTTTTATTACATAACTTATTTGCTTTATTTAATGAAAAAGGTTCTCTATAAATAAATATATATAAACTTGATTCTTTAAATGTTTGCAAAGCACATTGACTTAAAAAATTAAACGATAATAAACAGTAATGAACTTTTATAGACAATTGGGGAAAGCAGAGAAACTCTGCGAATAGAACACGATTGACTGACGGCTTATGAAACCTACGTGCCTGCCCTGGAACCTGGAACTTAAGTTATAGTCCACCCGGTAGCGGGCTGAGCGACCTAAGCTATATGAACTTTGTGGGCAGTGTTTGTGTGGGCGGGGGAGCGGCTCCAGGAGCGGTCAGCGCACTATCAACAGCGACAGTCGGTTGCGGCAGGCTGGGCTTTACAAATACTTGTGGCAGTGTGTTGGCCGAGGGGGCCAAGTGGGCACCTTGCCCGGACACAGCTCCATTGGTCAGCAGGTCATAGCGCGGCGCAACACTCAACGAGGAGAGAACTAGCGCGGCGGCCATTGCCTGGTCATGATTGTAGAAAGCCGTCACGGCAGCCGGTGTTGGCTGCTGTGCGGCCGGGGCCGATTGTCATTGTCGCGACGAGGATCCTGTGCCGGGGGAACCCATGGCACCGCCGCCGGCGCCGCCCTTAACGCTGCTTGGCGAGAAAATGGACTGCGTGGGCCACTTTATCGTATTTTCCAGCGCCTTTAGATCCGACATGGCCTTAATGATTTGCGAGTCGTGGCTTAGATTGTACATGGCTCCGCCCAAGCCGCTTGCACTGTTGCTGTTGTTGTAGACGTACATATTTTTATTGCTAAAACCGACATTTCCCGATGCACCCAAAGTCTTCTTTTGCGTCTTGACTTTGGGCTTGGACAGGGCATTTTGCACGGGTTTCCACGCCGGATAAATGCCAACGAACTCAACGCCATCCGACTCACTACTGCTGTCCCTGCTGACCCTGCTAACTGGCGTCGTCTGAGCCGCTTTGGAGGTGGAGGTGATGACGCTGGTGGCAGCCAGCTGCTTGGACGTTTGCAGAATTTCGCTGGGGCATTGGTAGTCATCAAGATTGATCACATGCGCCGAGGGCCGTGCTGCAACGATCACTTTGGCCTGCCCGCCGATGGGACTTTGCCTGGGAGTTCCATTGGGTGCCAGAATGGCTGGCGAGATCACCTTGATAAAGTTGCTGTGAGGAGAGGCCGCTTTCGCAGCCTTTCGGTTGGGCGAAGCCAGGTCCAAAACTGGACTGGCAGAGGCAACGGCGGCCGCATTCAGGACAGCTGCCTGGGCCGAAGTGCTGGGCATGGAGAGCAATGTATCCAGGTGGGGCGGCAGATGGTTGTTATTAATGGCTGCTGGCACACTAACCGCCGCCGTGGCTGTCGGCGTTAGCTGGAACGATTGCGGTTGGGGCGACTGCTGTGGAACCTGCTTGGCCACCTTTTTCTTGGGCGGCTTGCAGGTAGCCTTGGCCTGATCCTGTAGCTTGCGCTTCAGGCTGTTGGAGGAGGCACTTGTGGCAGAGTCCGTGTCAGAGTTTCCACGCGATCGGGGCTCCTCCACTGTCTTGGGGTAGTGGCTACCCTGTGGCAGTTGCTCAAGAGCATCTGCTGGCTTCATCGACGAAGCTATTGGCTTTTCCTTTGATTTCCTACTGGCGGTCTTATGGCGTGTGATCTCCCGCTGCAGCTCGTCGTAGCGCATCCAGCCCGTTGGCCAGAGATCCACTACCTTGACCTTCAGATAACCGTTGATGAACTCTTCCAGCGAGTCCTTTCGTTTGGCCAGCACAGCATAGGACGTCCAACGCGCCTGATATACGTCGTATAGCAGTTGACGCAGCTCGCTGGTCCACTGGAACTTCTTGCGCGGCATCTTCGGTGGCAGTTCAGAGTTCACATCCGCCGCCCTGGAAAACAGAATAAAATTTAGTCATTTTCTTTTGATTTGAATTGCTTTACAAACCCTTGTTCTGCGAAATTTCGCAATTCCATTTCGTAGTTTGCTATCGCCTTGGGCATGACCATGGCCACAGCCTGGCGCAGCTTTTCGATGGATTTTCTGGACTTGTTCTTCTCCTCCTTGGCCCGCACTGCCTTTCCCTTCCGCAGGATGTAGTACTTGGGCAGCTGCAGCTGATACTCGATGTGGGAAAACACCATGTTGCGCTCGTTTCGATCCGTGCAGAGTACCGCCTCGTAGACCCTGAAAAGGATTTATGGTTACCCGGCTTTACACCCAAAAGAGGCTCCAAGACTTACCTGAGCAGCAATGGGGTGAGCTTGTCATCCAATCTGAACCTACTGCCGCACATGTCTCGACTTCTGACTTCATCCTTTAAGCTATTGACAGCGGCCAAGATGTCGGGATCCAGCGAGGCGGGAAGCAGGGTATCGGCGGAACGCAGATCTTGAAAATTGAAACAAAAAATGTTATTTCTAAATACTTTTAACTTCGGTGAACACTCACTTTCCGGCCCCTCCTTGGCCTGTTTGCCTGCCTGCCTGTCCGCCTTTCCTTGCTCCGTTGCCGAGTCTGTGTCGCTGCTGCCACTGGAGGACTCTACGTCCGTTGAGATGCACTTCAACTCGCCGTTGCCTACGCTTTTTACTGCGGAAGGGCTGCTCTGCGACTTGAGGAAGCTATCCCGCTTGGCCTTCAGCATGTCCTTCACTGTCGTCGTTTTCACCACCTTCTTCAATGCCTGAGCCTGGGCCTGGGCCTGCGACTGAATGGGGCCCGGGATTTGCCCATGCCGCTCGTCCGTATCCGAATTATCAATGACAATTGGTCGTGGCGAATTCGAGGAGGAGGATGTGACCGTTGGCTTCTTGGGCAGCTTCTTGTTGTCGACACTAGAACTGGAGCTGGACTTGGGCTTGCCAGTGACGATGACCTTTGGCCGCTTGCTTGGATGATGATTGTCTTTGTACTTGCTGGTGAACTTGACCGTGGCAGCGGAGTCCTCGTCCTCGAGGCTTTCGCTATCGGAATCGTCCTCCTCGGAATCGCTTTCATCGGTTTCCTCGGAATCACTTTCTTCCTCCTCGCCCTCGCCTTCGTCCTCCCCCTCGTTGTCTTCGTTTTCATCATCATCTTCGTCGGACGATGATGAGGACGAGCTTTCAGAGCAGACAACTCGCTTGCGCGATCGTTCCGGCATCTTGATGATGGCATCCGTTCGCGTGGTGTAGGACTTCTGTTTACTCTTGAGCGTCACAATACCCTTGTTGATAAAGAAGCCGCCCTCCTGGGTCTCAGTTTCCTTCGGTATGATTTCGTCGTACTGAAAGTGGAAATAAAAATAATATCTCTCGAAAAATATAAAATGCTCCTAGTAAATATTTAGGGAATCGAAAAAAAAGTTGAATAAAGTTTCCTTACAGCTTCCGTGTTATCAATGAAGGAGTCTGATTCGTCGTATCCCATTCCAATATCCCGGTACTCGTCCTTTTTGCTCTTGCCCCTGCCGGTGGCGTAGGAGTTGCCGTACTTGGCCTCCAGCTCCTTGACGATCCGTGCCACATCGTCGTCGTTGTCGGCAAAGGGATCGCTGCCGGGCCCATTGCAAGTGCTCACCTGCTTCAGTTTCTTCGCCTTTTTCTGCAGGATAACCGATTTAGGGTGGGTGATTGTGATTCCTCCTGCTGCTTGCCAGTGGGTGGGTACTTACCTTCTCCAAGTACAGAAGCCGCGTATAGTTAAACTCGGGATATTTGTTGGAATCACTTTCAAACAGTTCTAGCTTGATGCGAATGCTTTTGGCAGTCTTGGCCGGCTTGTTACCGCTGTTGGCGATCGCCGCTGGCACCTCCGGCTCTAGGAAGTTGCTGCCGAAGCGCGAAAATGCCGTCTCGCCCTGGAATACAGTTGTGAGGGAGACGCGTTTGTGCTCGGTCCCCCTCGACATTTCCGGTGATTATGGTTGGAGTCGGGTGTCGGAGGAATGTCGCGAGTCCAGCACCTAGCCTTCCCGCCCTTTTGCGAGCGCGTGTTCCTATTCTCTGACTCTCTTTCTCGGCGCCCCTTCTCTCTGGGCTTCTCTCTGTGTCACGTAGAGCTGGGAAACTATCGATAGTGACACCATTCGATATTTTCGATGTTTTGAAAACGAAAATTCGATACTATCGATAGTATCGTTTTTTTACGATTCTTTTTGCAAATTAAAGTTATAGCAATTTCAAATAGAATTATAATACTATTCAATATGTTTTGACTAAGTAATTAACATAAATATTCTATCCAAGCAACTTTGCACAAATAAAATTGTATTACCATTGCTAAACATACGCTTAGACTCTGAAGACGTGGCGTAGACGCACCCTTTCTTTTGAGATTCAGTTAATATTTTTCACCACCAACTCCAATTTAAGTTAATTTAGAATACATTTTTATTATAAAAAAAAAAATATATATATACATATATATATATATTTGTTTGCATTTTTCTTACTAAATTTCAGCAACAAAGCAGAGATATAAAAATAGTCCCGTACTATCGATAGTGATAAAAAACTATCGATGGTGGCTCAAAAAAAGGAAAAAGTCGATACCTCGATAGTACCATCGATAGTTTCCCAGCTCTAGTGTCACGCAGCCAAACAAAAACAACGGGAACGTCGCCGTCGCTCCTCCTCTTCCTCCTCCTGCTGGTGCTGCTACTCTTCTTCTTGTATTGTGCTGCTGGGATGTCTGTTTCTGTTTTCTGCACGTACACCAAAAACCAACCACTACACAATCGGCAGTACCCGCGGCAAAGGCATCAAAAATCTTTTCCACAAACAACGCTCAACGTAAACAAATTGAAGCATAGTTGCGCCACTCGGCAGACTTTGCAACTGCATCCGCTTGGCCACGATTAATTGTCACTTTTGCTGGTCGCGACCCGTCGAGTCTCGTCCCAGTTGCAAGGGAGCAGTTTTTTTTTCTTTTTGGGCTTTCAGCTCGGCTTCGAGTCCCGCCGGCATAAAAACAATACAATCGGAGACGGCAGGACACCGGGAACCACGCACACGCGATCGACGCTTTCAACGGGGACACATTTAGCGCTGGGGATGCAGCAATTTTCGCAAGCGAGCGGGCTTCTTAATTTGTTTCTTATTAAATCCCGTGGCCGTCCTCAACGCTATATTTCTCTGCTCTCCGCCCCCTCGTCGACCCCGGTCTGGGTTTGGCTTGTTTCCAGCACTGGTCGCGGTTTCGCGAATGGTACGATACCGTTCACACTTGGCGCAGTAACTCGGCCACTGCGGTCAGTCCGCCGCAACTATTGTTCTTACTTAAACAATTTTATAACAGCAAAAATTTGTAATATACGAACAAATATTTGTACTTATAGAGCAATCAAATGTTTAGTGTCAAATTTGGTTAGCAACTTTTAATATTGGCGAATAATTTCACTTATTGATTAAATCATTTTTTTAGGTAAAAAATAATTTCCGGCTAAATTTAATAATACGAAAAATTCTTGGTGTGAGAAATAAAACTTTTGTATTTTCCATAGTAAGAAATTATTTTCCTCTACAGTCTAGACGGATCTCTGAAAGAATTGTAGCTGTTTTTGTTCAGTTTACAGATACAAGATACTTAAATCAATAAACTTTCCAAAACTAGCTATTTTTAACCGCCAACCGCCAAGTGGTTATCAGCACAGTGCGCAGTGCGCACATTCCACACACATTTCAGGTTTGTTTTGACCGAAATAATGGCGCTGTCCAACACTGATCTGCACAGCTGTTCGCACTCTGATGGAGGTGGGAGGTGGGGCAATTTTGGGGCAGTATTGTTTTGTGTGTGGATCCGTTTACTTCGATAAAGGCGAGTGCTGATGTTGGCCTACAATTAGCGTAAGTGCAAGTGAGTCGCCAGTACGTGTGGATTATTATGTGTGCGCCTGCTCCAGTGAAGAGAATTGCATGCACAGAAATTCGGTCGAAACTGCAAGCTGTCATTATAACTGGACCTACGCTCGCAATGGAGCGAAAGCGATTAGGATTGTGCAATTAACAAAAGTGTGCCCTGCTGCTCTGTTCACAGTCCCCAAGTGGCTCACAAGCAAACCCCCCCCACACACACTCGCTCAATATTCATGCTGCCTTTATGTTTGCAGCGCCCCCCTGCCCGCCCGTACATATATAATTTGGATATATGTATTTATGTTATTCGAGTGCAAGTGACCGAAGCCACGACAACCAAAGAGCAACGCACGCACGGAGTTTCCAACAAAGGCTGCCCGCTTTAGTGGTCCGGTGACTTTCGCCGGAGAGGTTACTCCGTTTGCCAGTTACTCCCCACCCATAGCCACATTCCCACCCGCACCCACATCCGAGGGCCTCGTTCGGATGGCAAGACAATAAAGGAGCACAAAGAAATCAGACTGAGAGTAGAGCTCCTTTGTCGCATCTCTGGAAGAATCATTTGCCAGTGAACCATCGGTGAGTAATGGATGTCTCTCCATTTACCTAAATTACTTTGCTGTCTTGTACCGTTGGAACTACAAGCGGTGTGTGTTGTGGAAAAGTGCAAATTGAAAACAAGACACCTCCATTATGTGATAAGAATTGCCAACAGTTGAACTCCCTTAACTGCAACTTTTCTTGGAAGCCATAAACTAATAAATATTAGTATTTATTCAGAAAAAACTATGAATGTAGAAGCTACTCATGAATTTAAGACTTTCGTTTTTTTTTAGCTGAAAGTACTTGAACAGATTGTACATACATACATGTTATATGTTGCTGAAGCTAAGGAAGCTTTACTGTGCCGTATTTTTATTTAAGGTGACGCAAACGGGAAATATTACAAACTCCTAAAAGTTTCGATTCCAGCAACACCATATCAAAATGTTACACCGACCTCAATCATGAAACATATTTCAATGGAAACCCTAAAGAGGGAATTTCCTCTCGGGAACATGAGCTTTCCTTATGCGATAAAAATGTTTAATTGTGGCTCTAGAATCTAGATAAAATGTAAGATTATGTAGCCCAAGGCAAATAATGCTGCTGAAACGTTAAGCTCCCAGGCAATGAGATTCCAAATACCCTTATATCGTAATGAAGCTCTGGCAGACGACCTTGAACCATGTGGTCCGAGTTGTCAGCCAAAATTGGCTTAGATTTTTCATTCCCTGGCCGGGTATACTGATTTTAGTAAGAATGTTTGCAACGCATTAAGGATGTCATTCCTAGAAATCATATCATATTCTTGATCACCGTCAAGATCCAGGTAAAAACTTAGTAAAAGCCAGCACAAAAACGCTTTTCGAGTTAAAATTAATGCATGTTTGGCTTAATGTGGATTGAAATAATTGCAAACTAGCTAGGGTATTCAAAATTTGGTTTCTGAAATTAGCTTCCTTTTTCGTTGTCTATGAAAAACGCCATGTGCTTGTTGATTTATTTTATTTACTTTTTGGAAACTCAGCCATTAAAGGCGGCGGCGGGTTTTCCATTTGAGACCAGACAGTGACCACAAACAAACAAAAAAACCAGCTATACACATAAACAAACATCAGGCAGCAAGCAACAAGTGAGCGTACAAATTTAATTTACTTTTAATGCGTCATTATTGCCATTTTGTGACATGCTCGAGCTGATTTTCTGGTGTATAGCAAATGAATATAGTTTTTCGCTTATTTCAGCGAAGCGAATTTGATGTACAGTTTGCAAAGTTTATCAGAGATCTGAGACATGAATGACGGTAAAAAAGTAAATTAGCAATTGTTTACGTTTATACGACAATTACTGTGTTTTTTCTTATTCAGAGAGAAAGAATGAATTAGATAGATCAGAAATTGCATCACATTTCGTTGGATTAATGGGATTTATTGTTTTAAATGAAAAAGAATCAAAAGCAAGGAGAACTGATGAAAAGAAACAATGAGTAATAAGCATAAAAATGTTTACCAAAATTTCAAAAAGTAATTAAAGAATTCTGTAATAATTCCTTATCAGAATTCATTGGTCATTAACTTGACTACTTGGAATGCGGGATAATCCTCCTCTTGGCTTTCCAGAAAAAATTTATACCTACTTTGTCATACTGTTCTTATCAGCTGAAGCCGCTCAAATATATTACACACGTCATTATTCCCTATGATAATGATGATTATAAAATATGTGAGTCGCTAAAATAAATAAAAGAATGAAATGTACACTGAAACATATAGTTTTTACCATAAGGAATTACTCTTAACCCACAGACAATATGTTTAACTCCGATAAGAAGTCATTAAAAAAAGATCATTGGCCCTAGATAGCCTCCTAGATACCATCAAAACCACAATTTATCGCTGACACATTCATATTCCGAACGTACTCTCCACGCCACACAATCAACAATGAACATCGAGTACAAAAAATGCCGCTAGTAGTTGACAGCACCCCACCAACACCCACTATATATACGGTGCCATTTTTAAACAAATGACGCATCTACGGAAACAAATTACAGGGGGGACACTAACAACCTAGAAAGCATCATTACCTAAACACTACGACTAGGGCCCATCTATGATAAATTTAAAGATATATAACATTCGATTCTCTATTGACATTTAGCAGTGAAAAGCAATGACGGAGAGCGAGGAGTTGATGAACAAGTACGGCGAGCCTTTGCGCTACGACCGCAACTTCACGGGACCACGGCAGCGGGATAGGAGCTGTACTGATGTGCCCTGCCTGCTGCTCTTCGCCCTCTTTCTAGCCGGATGGGGCTTCATAGCGCAGTACGCCATCAAACATGGCGATCTCAACAAGCTGATGGTGCCCTCGGACTCATTTAACCGCAAGTGCGGCATCGACTCCGGTGTGCTGAACAAGAAGAACCTCTTCTTCTTCAATCTGGAGCAGTGCATTGATCCCTTAGTTCCCCTTACGGGCTGTCCCACACCCCAGGTAAGTTAAGAAAGAGATGGTAATTAGGATATATTAAGACAGTTTGCTTGATTCCACAGGTGTGTGTGGAGAAGTGTCCCAGCCAGACGTTCGTCTGGGACACAATGAAGAACTCGTTGAGCTTTGAGGATCTACACAGTCGACTCATCTGCCTGACGGAGGAGACCAAGGCGCAGATTCGCAACAAGGAGCAAATGAACAATGCCATCCAGAATAACTTGTGCGCCCGATGGTACATCAAGAGTGCTGCCTTCCTCAACCGCTGTCTCTTCGAGTTCTCACCACAGGTGTGCGAGTATATTCCAGCTTTTCTTTTGAGAAGCGGACGCTCGCGAAGGGAGCTGACGCTGCTGCCTGGAAATGCCACCACTGAAGTCGAGCTGGAGGCCAAGGCCATGGCGCTTAGCATGGCGGAGGCACAATCTCTAGTCGCGCAACAGGGAAATTCAAAGCAATCCCCGGTGGAGGAGGAGCCGGCCACTCAATGTCGACGCACACTGAACGAGGCTGTGATAAAGGAGAAGATGATGCAAACCGACACCCGGCTAGCCAAGATGGTGGGCAACCTGGTGGCCCATTTCTATAATGGTACCCACGACGCCCAGCGGTTGGGCGAGGAGATAGTTGAGGATCTGGTCAACTCCTGGTCAATAGTGCTAGTGGCGTGCTTTTGCACGTTGATTGCCTCTCTGATCTTCATAGCTCTGATGCGATGGCTCTCGGCTCCGATCCTCTGGTTCTCAATCTTCGGCGTGCTCATTGGCCTCCTGGTAGGCATCTACTACACCGTGAGGCAGTACATATTCTGGGAGAAGACGCCCACGGTGACGGTGCATGGCTTGAACCTGCATTCCACGGTTAAAAATGTGCTCCAGAACCAGAAGACCTGGCTCTACCTGTCCATCTTCGTGGCCGTGTGCTTCGTGGTTATCCTGCTGCTGGTCATTGTGCTGAGGAAACGCATCCGGATAGCCATTGCGTTAACGAAGGAGGGTAGCAAAGCGGTGAGCAGTGTGATCAGCACCGTTTTCTTCCCCATCTTCTCCTGGGTACTCTTTATAGCGGCGATTGCGTTCGCCGTCGGTGTGGGCTTGTACCTAGGCTCCATCGGTCAGGCGTCCTTCCGGATGGTGCGTCAGTTGACAGCTGATGGTGAAGTGACCAATGAGCCGTGCGTCTGCGAAGGTCCAGCCATCAACTATACCATCGGGGGATCCTGCAATCCGGAGGTTTTCCAGCAGCATTGCTACAATCAGCAGGCCTCGACTTCAGGTTTTTTCCAGCAATCGCAGCGAGTTGCCTGCTCGAAGACCACATGCAGCTTCGATACGATTGAAAATCCGCCACTGATTAAGTGGGCCATCTTCTACAACGTCTTTGGATTCCTCTGGCTAAGTTTCTTCATCTCGGCCTTCAGTGACATGGTTCTAGCAGCCACCTTTGCCCGCTGGTATTGGACCTTCAAGAAGCGAGACGTTCCCTACTTTACGCTAACACGAGCCTTTTGCCAAACTGCCTTCTACCACCTGGGAACGGTTGCTTTTGGCTCGCTGATCCTGGCCATCTGCCGATTGATTCGCCTGGTGCTGGAGTACATCGATAGCAAGCTGAAGAAGTACGACAATTCGGTGACGCGGGCCATCCTCTGCTGCATGCGCTGTTTCTTCTGGCTGTTGGAGACCTTCCTGAAGTTCCTCAACCGGAATGCCTACATCATGTGCGCCATTCACGGCAAGAACTTCTGTAGCAGTGCCAAGGACGCGTTTAACCTAATTATGCGAAACTTTTTGCGCGTGGTCACGCTAGACAAGGTCACGGACTTTTTGTTCTTCTTGTCGAAACTGCTGCTTACCGCCGGAGCGGGGGTGTCCACCTACTATTTCCTGGTCAATAATCCTGCCATCATTCAGCTACATCATAATGCGGTGCCCACGACCGTGGTGGTAATTGCCGCCTTCCTCATTACGAGCGTGTTTTTCGGTGTCTACTCCACGGCCGTGGATACACTGTTCCTTTGCTTCCTGGAGGACTGCGAGCGGAACGATGGTTCACCGGAGAAGCCCTTCTTCATGTCCAAACAACTCATGAAGATACTGGGCAAGAAGAACAACCTTCCACCGCGCCAGCGACGCGGAAAGTAAGAATTTACCCCGGGAAACGGCAGTGCAAATTATCAGTTAATTGAAAAAAAGATTTACCTACTTACGATATACATATTTATGTGTAATATAACCCAAAATCGATGGGGTTGTGAGCGAGATTGCTCAAGCTGTAGGTTGCAATAGAGATTGCATGAAATGCAAGCAGCTTTAAGCCAATACTCTTAAACTTTAACGGTAAAGCTAATGTATATAATACGCCAGTAATTATAATCATTTTTTTGCGGCAAGGCCTGTGCGATCGAAGGGACATGTGATAGGCGCCAACCCATAAAGACCAAAAGCAATACAAAACAATAAATTGTATACAGAGACACGAAAGTACATATCTCATCTTGTTTTGTTTAAACCTTAAACTATTATCTCAATTATTATTTTTCGAATTTAATAAAAAATGAATTCCATTAAAATCATAGTTACAGTTTTGTTTTTTATAATTTTTTATATAACAGCTCAAATCACTCATTTCAGAAAGTCTGATTTTTTAGGAAAGCAAAGTGCAAAGAAGCCGTGAAAAACTAACAGTAGCTATAAGGATTTGTGAGTTTTAAATATATATATAAATACCCTATATAATAAAGATTAAATACTGCCTCAAAACGGTTTAGATCTTTAGTAAGTGCTAGAACGTAGTACTTGATACCTTGTAGCACTATATTTAAATTTTTGTTTAGGTAATTTGCTGACAGGTAAGAACCGAAAAAAGTGTATTAAATATTTAAATTAAATTAAAACTCCATGATATATTTTTTTATTTCATTTTTCAAAATATTCAAAAACCCGTTAATTCGAAAGTGTGACCGTGTTCGCAAGGTATTTTGGTCTGGCAGCACTGGTGCGCTACCATACTTTTCGTTCATCAGCGACCAAAACGTAACGTAAATCGTTACGTTACGTGTTATTGATTGCAGAAAGAAGAAGAAAAAGCAAAAGGAAGAAGAAGCAGAAAAACAAAAAGAAGCAAAAGAAAGGCGCAGCTCAAAAACCAAAGTCAAAATCCGAATTTGTTGCAGAACTAAACTTAAGTTGAACCTATTTAATCCGTCTGGGCATGCTTTAGAGTCCGGGGAAGTCCCCACCGAGTGATTGTCCGTTTGCAAGAGAGACCCGTTCGAGTTGTAAATTAAATTCGCCGAACCAGCGAGAGATACTTCGAGAAGTCCTAAAGCCATATAGCCACCAAAATGACCAATCTGGAGAAGCAGCACGAGATGGTTAGGCGCAGCCTGGTGCAGTTCATCAGTGGCCACATTCCCGGTGCCGATTTCAGCGTCGTAGACGAGATCGTCCTGTCGTACATCATCTCCATTCTGGAGGAGGCCTCGCAGGATCCCTGTTTCGATGTGGAGGGCTTCGTGGAGATGATGGGCGCCTACTTCGAGGACTTTCCAACCATCGACCAGGGCGTCATCTGCGAGTGGATCTATAAGCTAGCCAGTGAGCTGAGCGCTGTGGAGAAGAACCAGGGCAGCCTGGACGCTGTCAACTTGTCGCTCAGGTAGCATTTCACTTTCATCATACCCTGTTTTGGCAGTGTTTAAGTTAAGTGCTTTTTTTCAGCTCTCTGACCCTGTCGGGCATCATTCCTGAGTCCAAGCTGCGTGCCCGCAACTCGTCCACTTCCGAAAAGGACGAGTTGTCCTCGAACAGCAGCAGCAGCGGCGGTGGCGGCAGCAACAAGCGATCGCAGCATCTGTCGGAGACCAGTGATGGCGGCTCCACCGACAGTTCCAGCTCCACATGCGACTACTTTTTGGACGAGGCCGAGGTGCTACAGGAGATGTTCCCCGACGCAGCTTATGCTGAGGTTTGGATTAACATCGTTTGAGGAAATATCCATGTCTTATCTTGCTATATATTTCCTATTCGTCTAGATCAAGCACTGCATCGCTATCTCCAAGGGGGACATCGATAGCGCCACTCAGATCCTGCTGCACCGCCAGGAGACCAACCAAAGCATTACGGATAAGTCGCATACTGGATATGTCAAGAAGAATGTGGTGGTTGACGATAATGAGCTAAAGAATCGTATTATCGCCAGGTGAGTGTTTTGTTTTTATTTTATTTTATATTATTATTATTAGTATTGTTTCTACAAAGCTTAATCTTAAATAACAAAGACATTAATTGTAAATATCAAGTCTGAATGAAACCAAATAACATGTTATCCCCGCAGATACTCGTATGTGGACAAGAACGCTACCCAGCGCGAATACAAGCCGGTGGTGCCCAAGATGGAGCCACGCAAGCTGGTCCGCTACCGGGACAACAAGATAGTCTCGCTCAAGGGCGAGCGCTACACCGAGATCAAGCGTGACGAAGATGCTGAGTTAAAAAAACCCAAGAAGCAGATTCAACCGTAACTAAAGAGGAACAAAACCCTCTTCAAGTATTTTATCAAGAAAGAAATTAATCCACACCCAAGTATCTTATCCGCACCCACGACACCGATCTTCGCCAGCAGCAGCAGCATTAGCAGCTGCAACAGCCTCTCAAGTAATAGCAGCAGCAGTAATCCCCTTCCCGAGCACATTTTATGCAATCAAATGCATATCGCTGGGATGATCAACGCCAGGAGCCATGTCAGCAGCCATCCCGAGTCCAAACCAGTGATCCCAGCCCAGCTTAGCCAACGTTTACATGCTTCCCAACACAACGACGATGATGATGATGATGATGAGGCACGAGAGCCCAGACACAAAGACGATAAGCAGCCACCGAGCACAGTGAATCGGTTCCCATATTCGAGTGAGTACGGCCAGGACTATGTTGTGGCATCGGCCGGCCTGTTGGTGGCACTAATGCTAGTTGGCCATTGGCATTGGTCCTCTCATCACGCCCATCATCAGCCCCTTGACAAAGACAGAAAGACTTTACATACCAAATTAGTTGATAGTTATGCTTTAGGACTACTCGCTTATGCAAATTTTGAGAGCCCGTCCGTCGCGGCGGCTGCCTGCTTATGAGTCCCGTTGCCAGGAGCAGGTGGCCCGGATGGATCTGGACTTAGATCCGGCACCGGGGTAGTTGCCAGTCGTCGCTTATGACGACTGGGGTCGCGCCTGCGCTGTGACCTCTCCTCAGTTCCTTACGCAAGCGAATTCGAACCGTATCTGTGAAAATCGTGAATCTCAAACTCTTAAATGCCCTCAAACAGTATTGTTGCCCCTGAACCCTGAACCCAAGGAACAGCCGCAGGTGCGACACCAACCCGAATTTGGCGCTCAAATAGACTTATTTAGACGTTTTTAGGTACTCGAATTAAATTGAATTTTGTTGGCCGTGTGCGTGTTTCAGAAACGCAGCAGCACAAGAACCTTGCCATATCTGTTTAAGATTTGTTAACCCATTTGATATCGTAACACGTAATACGTAACTCGTACAGTTTTGTTTACCCTGGTCCAAGCAAACTAGCAACAGTAATCAAGCCACCAAAGCCGCAAGCAACACAAACTAGTCCTCGCCGCCCACTGCGATATCTGGAACCCATAACCATTCGGCTGCTGCTCGGCGGAAGACAGCAATACTAACAGTAATCTAAACGTATTCAGCGTACACACACACGTATGAACTAATCAAATAATCAAATATTTATATAGCCGTAGCCTAGCCCCCAGATCCTTTCCGAATATTGTAACGATTGTGACCTATCCACGATTCATGTTAGATGTAAGCCAGCGTCCCCCACGATATTGTTCGGCAGCTTTCAATTTGTCGCTTTTTGTTTGAGACAAAAGATATATCTAAACTTGTTCGTATACTCTTTTATGATTTCACCTAGGTTTTAAGTTTTAACTAACCTTCCGACCACCGTTTTATGTTAATGTAACCAATTGCATTTTAAGCATTCGACTTTATTTAAGCCACCACAAACGATCGGTGTTTCAACCATCACACGTACGTATTCGTATTTATGTTTAACTTGGTTTCGGTTCGATTATAAAATCGTTTACATTTTTAGTTTTGTATATTATTTTTGTGATATTAGCATAAAATCAACTTTAAACAAAAGGCAAAACACTCGAATTAAACTTTTGAAATTATTAAATAAACTACTATCAATATTTAACGCATACATATTACTTTTAAAACAGTTAAGTGTGGTAGTTGGGTAAGTTTTTTTTTAAATATACAGCTGTTTCTTTTTTTTCTAGTTTGTAATAGAAAACAAAAGGGAGGCATTAAGAATCAATCTAATTTGGTCAAATTATAGAAAAAGGGACAGACATATACATATAAAAAGTTAATTCAGATCTTAATAAAATGCTTTTGACTCAAATTTTTAAATCTTTCAAGAAGACCGGAAATTGTTATATATGTAATTATTTTATGAAAAATCGAAGTGTATAAATATCATAACTCCGTCAAAAAAGCATCAAATTTAATTCGGAAAGCTTTTCTATGCTAGTTTTTTCTAGGTTAACAAATCTGCATTTTAAATTTTAAATTTCAAGACATCAAAATTTTTTCAATTTTTGAGAATTTTAACGATGTAACCCCTTATAAAATTTTGAAAAAAATTAAAAAAAATTTTTTTGTCGTCGACATGGCTAGAAAGATTCCCCTTTTGATGCAGATCAAGAATATATATGGTTTATAGGGGCAGAAACTAAAATTAGAATTCTTGCAAGGCTATAAAGACAAATTTAATTAAAATAAAATTAGCTCCCATTGTCATGGATACATGCAACAAAAAGATTGATTCGTAAATAAAAACAAAACGTTAGTTTTTAAATTATTTGAATTTTTTAATTAATGCGGCAGTATCTTAATAGTATCACTGGTTCATTTGCGGTATTTTCTGGTAGTAATAGCCGAGAAACATGGCGTTGTCCCTGCGGCTGGTCACACTGCACAGCCGAGTTTTTTCGCACAATTTTTTTTAGTGTCGAAAATCCATTTTTGTGCTGAAATGACCACAATAGCGGATTTATTCACTAAGTACAATTGCACTAACTGCCAGGACGACATCCAGGGTATTCGGGTGCACTGTGCGGAGTGCGAAAACTTCGATTTGTGTCTCCAAGTAAGTAGTTCACACATACACAAAGTCAGAGCGACGCACCTACCTATGTATGCAGTAGGGTGGGCCGAAATTTTGGTTCTAAAAAAAAAATGGAGCCCTGGCTTCGGGTTAAGAAGTATAAATTGCTATTTTTTTAAGTTAGACAGTTATTAAAAAATGTGTTCTTGATTTAAACCAAAAATATTTTGGAACAACTATGTAGGGAAATAGAAATAAAAAAGGTTAATATTTAAAACAAAGACCAAATTTCTTTGTCAACGAAAGCGACCCACCCTGCTTCACCAATATTCGTACAGTCTAGAGATGCGTCGTCAATCTGGAACCAAAAAAAAACTGACTCATCTGGGCAACTCACACACAGTCACTTAGCCGGCGATTTCACCATGTTGACTAAAAAACAGCTGACTCTCACTAACTGCGTTGTTATTATTTTTTGTTTTTGCAAACAGTGCTTTGCAGCGGGGGCGGAGATTGGAGCCCATCAAAACAATCATGCCTACCAGTTTATGGACACGGGCACGTCCATTCTGAGCGTGTTTCGAGGAAAGGGGGCATGGACGGCACGCGAGGAGATACGCCTGCTGGACGCCATAGAGCAGTACGGATTCGGCAACTGGGAGGACATCAGCAAGCACATCGAAACCAAATCGGCGGAAGACGCCAAGGAGGAGTATGTTAACAAGTTCGTCAATGGCACCATCGGAAGGGCCACCTGGACGCCAGCTCACAGTCAGAGGCCGCGGCTAATCGATCACACGGGAGACGACGATGCCGGCCCACTGGGCACGAGTGCCCTGGCGAGTCTCCCCCCGCTGGACATCAATTCTGATGAGGCCATGCAGCTGGGCTACATGCCCAACAGGGACAGCTTCGAGCGGGAGTACGATCCCACAGCCGAGCAACTGATCTCTAACATCACCCTCAGCTCCGAGGACACGGAGGTGGATGTAATGCTTAAGCTGGCCCATGTGGATATCTATACCCGCCGTTTAAGAGAACGCGCCCGCAGAAAACGAATGGTTAGGGACTACCAGCTGGTCTCGAACTTCTTCCGCAACCGCAATTACGCCCTGCACCAGGGTCTTACCAAGGAGCAGCGAGAGTTCCGGGACAGATTTCGGGTCTATGCACAGTTTTATACCTGCAACGAGTACGAACGGCTGCTGGGTTCGCTGGAGCGGGAAAAAGAGCTTCGCATCCGGCAGGCGGAGCTCTACAGATATCGCTACAACGGGCTGACCAAGATTGACGAGTGCGTCCACTTTGAGCAGCACGCAGCAATGGCAACGCATCGTTCCACGGGACCGTATGGTCACGGCAAGACTGTAAGTGAAAGGCACAACCAAAGGGTTATTAGAATTGAACTATTCATAAACGGGCAAACTTCTATAACCATGTTTTTTGTTTTTTGTAAATGCATAAACTATAAAATTATGAGCCCTTTAAATGGAATCAAACTGAGTTAAAAAAAACTGTGTTAAGAAGTTTGCCCTCAAAGAGGTTCGATTTAAATTCTCCTGGACTGAGTGCTCCCCTTCCATGAGAATGCATGACGAGTTGAATATCGTGTGTGCTGCCTTGCTTTCCCCGATCCGACCCCAAACTGACCCGATCCAACTCTTACAATCGCTTTTCCGTCTTTGTCTCACGATATTCAGCTCCACTGCATTATAAACGCGCCAAACCACGAGCGTTCGAACGGTTCTATAAGACAATGTTTAACCACAGGACCACATGCAACACTCCAATGGAAGTCTTCGGCCGCCAAGCTCTTCCTTGCACTCCCCACAACCGAATCTCAGAAAGGTGTAAGTATTTTGGATAATCCACGAAATGCACAGAAACATTTAAATTTAAATTGTGCTATTTACTTGATCCGGAATTCGTTTCTAACGCCTGGTTTACACTTTTAGCGAAATGTCAAGCGGCGCCGAGGCAAGTTCAAGTTCAATCGCACCAAGAAACACGCTCCACACCGCCGACCCGACTTGCTCCGGCGCATTATTGCCCAGCAGAAGTTACTTGGATAGCTGTCGGGCATCGTCGGCAGCTACGATGCTGCAGACGACGACGATGACGACGACGGGAATGGGGGTGGGTCCGGGGGCGGTAATGGGAATGGGAATGCCGATAACCCTGGACTCGGGAGCGACGACGGGAGCGATTTCCACGGCTATGACGATGGCGAATCTGCCAACGAATTCCGCGAAGGGAAGCCAACCACATCTGCAGCCGCTGCAGCAGCCACAGCAGCAGCTCCTGCAAAGCAGCGCCAGCGGCCACAAAAACCCACTGCCAAACGAGGTCGCCGGCGGAAGCAACAGTGATCAGACTACCAGCATGAGCTTGAAGCTGCGCACGCAGCTGGACGAACTGAAGAACCTGCCCCAAGCCCTGGGCAGCAGCTTGCTTAGCCACAACGAGCTGGATCTGTGCAGGAAGCACAATATCACACCCACCACCTACCTCTCGCTGAAGACCGTCTGTCTAAGCGGAGCACCATCGCTGGGCAGTCCTATGGAGACTTCGCTGCGCAAGTTCTTTATCAAGTGCGGCTGGCTGAGCCACTGATTGAACCGCTACCCTTTTCCCGCGCCGCTTACATTAAGATTCATGCATGCATTTCGCGATCTAAGGACTTCACTTTATTTTATTATCGTTAATATAAGTAAAAGACAACTTTTTTATACTGTTTCAACTTTTGTTGCCATTTTCTTCGAGGGAAAACATACAGAAAACAAAGAATAAGAATTAATCTTACTTGTATCAAGTTAAGCTCAAAAATTAGCCACAATTTTGTTCCTTTTCGTGTGAGAAATAAGTATGTATTAAACTATTCGTAAGTAGGTCGCCCAACCAATTGAATGTGTATGATATATGAAGTGTAAATGAAGTAATAAATGTAATATCAGCAAGGAAATGGACTTGAGTGATGGTTACTCTTGTGAGATTTGCTTCTTACTGTATAGCATTTCTCTGTTGAACTTTTGTGTTCAAAATTGCTTTTCTGGCAAGCTTTACCCCCTTACAACTAAATTCTATTACCGTATACTTACAAAAATATAGAATAATATATTATAAACGGGTTTATTCACTTTGACCTTACAACTAGAGGAGATGTGATGCTTAGATGCACTGCATCACTTGTTTCGCAGAAAGTAGCGATACAGCGTGTTCTTCTGACCTCCGCCACTGGCAGTGGTTGCAGTGGCCTGGGCACCACCGGCTCGTGCAGCTGCAGCACTGCTGCTGGCAGCTCCATTTGTTTGCTCCACCGCTGCTGCCACTAGAGAGCTGCGCCACGACGCAATCAGTTCGGTTTGCAGCTCCACCGGCAGCTCCTTAAACACCTCTGCATCCACACCCGCCGGACAGGCGATATTGGAGAGGGCTTCGCTGGCAGACGTGCTGCTGTTGGTAGTCGCCACGGCTGCTGTGATAGTCGGTGTGCTGGGAGCGCTCATTGCCATCGAGTCATCCATCGGCGAGGGCAGTGGCGAGGAGGCTGTGGAGCTGGCATTTGAGCTTAGACGGCTGGCAGTGCGAGTGGCCACGAACCGGAGGCTGCCGTCGATTCGCTGCAACAGCGTATTCGGCGGCTGGACGGTGCGGAAACGAGGAGCGCTTCCCGATGTGGAAGTTGAGGGCGTGGTGCTCATGGGGAAGTCCTTTTCGCTATCCCGCGAGTTCAGACGCAGATCACATACGCGTAGTTTGCTAGGCGAAGCAACATCTGCGGCGGTTTCCGTTACATCCGCCGCCAAACGGCTGCGTTTTGAAACAAGTAAACGCCCAATGCGGCTTTTCTTCGGCGAGGGTTCCACTTCCGTTTCCGAAAAGTCACTAAAGTCCGAATTGGTGGCCGCAGATTCAGAGCCATTATCAAGCAGCATCGGCACGGGAGAGGCCGTAGTGGCTCTTCTTCTGTAAAACTGATCGCTCGGCTTAAATGTCGTTGGCGACGAACGGAAGGCGCACTCGTTCGACGTTGGGCTCTCCGCTGTTGGACTCGTGAGACTCGTATTGGTCAGCGAGGTGATCGATTGCACCTCGAGATCGGCCTTTTTGATCAGAAAATTTGCTATGGATGAGGAGCCCACTTTGCGCTCCTGGAACTTGGAAAAGGCCAGTCCTAGCAGGGTGATGTTGAAGGGCTTGTTCATGTCCACGATCCGCTCGAACAGGCGCATCACAATCTTGAGGAGTTTGTCTTGGGCTCCGTCTGCCAATTGAACCTTGCTCACGCCTGTTTCCCCAGGGCAAGTGGAGGTCTTGAATAGAGAGGGTAGGATGTTGGCTTGTTTGGTTTCGCGGTGGCTGCTCTTCTTCTGGGTGTCGAACTTGCGCAGCACCACCTTGATGGCTATCGGAATGCGACCGTCTTCGGCGACCTATGCGGGAAAAGCAATATGTCATTAATAATTAATAAAAGCCCAAGATTTCTTGAGGTTTTTTTCTTACCTGCTCCACCAGGCGCTTGAGCAGCATGCGAAATCTCTCCTCCACATCTGTGCGCACAGAGATGGGCTTGCAGGCATCCTCCATGCCTATGGTCTTGGGCTTTCCAGTGGGACGCACGGAGCTAGTGTCCCGACCAAAGGCTAGATCCCTCAGCCTGGTGGCCGTCTCAAAACCGAACTTTTTGCGCATTACATCCATGTCGCACTGCTGCAACTGTTCTACGGAGGACATGCCCGCCTCCAGCAGCAGGCTCTGCGTTTTCTGGCCTATTCCAGTGATGCGTTTCAGGCATCCCAGTTCCCGCATGAACTGCTCCGCATAGGTGGATACGAGAACAGTCTGTTGATTCGGCTTGTGGCTACCGCCGACGAGTTTGGCCAGCAACTTATTGTATGCGATTCCGGCGCAACAGGTGATTCCCAGGCGGAGTTTAAGTTCCTCCCTGATTTCCTGGGCGATTCGAGTGCCGATGGCCAGGCGCTGGGCACAGCCGCAGTCGCAGGCGGACAAATCAGTGCCGTCTGTCGGATATGTGTGACCCACTAATGGTTTCTGCTGTGCCTCAGCGGCATGTGCCTGTCTCAGCTCCACCAGCGACGTAACATCCATAAAGTTCTCGTCAAAGCCAAGTTTCTCCACCAGAGGAGTGTAGTTTAATAGCAGGTCGAAGATCCTTTGCGACATCTGACGATATGGGGCCAGATCCTCTCCATTGACCAGCACCAATTCCGGACAAATGCGCTGCGCCTCCGTAATTAGCATCAGTTTGGCGACTCCCTTAGCCCGCGCTACATAGTTGCAGGTGACCACAATGTTCTTCTGCTGGATGCCCAGAGCCTTCGAGCGGAGCGTTGGATCCCGGATCTCCTCCACCTGCGCGTAGAAGTAGTCCATGTCCAGGTGGATGATGGTGCGCTGGTGCGCCTCGCTCTTGCCAAGCACACTGGCAAAGTCCATGGTGGTTCACAGCGCCTGCAATTGCGAAAGGTCATGAAATTCCATAAATGAATTCGGCGATTCCCGGTAGTCGCTTATGAAATACCCTATACTTTACTTCTATCGGAGATAAAAGACTATTAAAGCTCATTCAAGCTGTTTTAATCTTTTTTAGATAACCGAAGGTTCGAGATTCAGTAATTGTAATTAACTAAAAAAAAAAAGTATTAGGTAAGCATTTCCATAATATACCCAACAAAACTACGATTACTGGGTATTCCTGATGCAAGTTGTTTGGCTGGCGGTGAAACAAAGCGAATTCCAAAAGAGAGCGCGCGATGCTGCCTTCGAGAGGGAGGGGTGCTCCGCTGGGTGAGAAATCGGCAGCAGCCACTGTTGCTTGCTCCGCTCTTCTTCTTCCACCGCCAACTTTCTAATCAAACATTGCGAAAATATTGGAGTCCCCACACAACACAGCGCACTCACACTCACACACAGCGCAGGAAACGTGTGCCGGCTAAACATTTAAACAAAATATTGCACAAAGCTGACGGTTTCGCGATGACGCATTAGTTAATGGCCGAGAAAACACCAGATTTTCGACGGCTTCCAATCCTTGGCCCCCGACCAGCGTCTGACGCCAACAATAACACGAGCTCCTTATCGACACGATTTCGGGGCTAATCGCATGCACCTGCTGTCTATATTTTCGTTTAATTATTAATCTTAAAAACTATTAAATCTGTTTGTTTTTACCTTAAACTCAGTGTGACCGTAAAGGTTTCGATAGATAATACCGTCCGGCTGGATGTTAGTATGACCGCAGCGCAGTTTGAGGAATATACCCACGAAAAATACTAAAATTGAATTCCATTGTGCCAGAAAGCACAGAGTTGCCAGACAGCTTAAATTAGGCCAGGTGGCACTCTCACATTAAGAAGTCGTTACTTTTAAAATAAGTTAAATGATTGCTCCCAATGACCGTGCTTATTTAACATTATTTTAAGCCAAACAGTCACTAATTTTTTAACTTAAATCTAATGTACATTTACTTCTATCAACACCGAATACTATTAAGGCTAATAATATAAATAAATACAAATTTCTTTGGAATACAAAATCAAGTCGCTCGGATTGGTAAAGTGTTTAGGGTAAGCTTAATATCATCAGAAAACACATATTTTGTTATTTAGACAAGGAAATTAAGATACTATTTTTATGATTTGTTGTTAATCAAAATTACTTTACTTTCGTTTTAAAAGACTAAACTAAACATTTATATTTAACAGTGATATCTGGGCAAATCTCTCAACTCTATTGGCTATATCCCCTGCTAACAATGCATACTTGATTTACTTCGCTCTTCAATTACCGTTTTGGAAATCTGAACATTGCATGTCAGCGCATTTATTGTTATTACAATAATTTTACGAGTGGGCAGCCGCGATTTTTAATGATATTCATGAGTTTTATACAGATTGAAGAGCGCTACAAGATAAAGGCGAGAACGAAAAAAAACCAAAATATATAATAAAATAAAGGCACTACCCCAGGTGGGTGGGGTGTGTGTGCTGTGTGGGGTGTGCGGGTCGGTGACGTGGTCACGCGCTTTCATGCCCGCCAAGAATGTGGGGCAGAGCAGCTTTATGGCTCTTGTTTGTGGTTTTGCCTGTGGTGTCGTACGAAATGCGCTCGGAATTCGCCAGCAGTAAAGGCAGAACGGAAAAAAATGTATAAGAAAAATATATATCGGACAGACCTTCGGCTTGTTGTCCACTCCTCCATCCAGATCCCCGGCTCGTCCTGCGTCCTGCGCCTGTGATAATCGCCCCGCTGGCTGCTTGACAGGCAAACAATGCTGTGAATTTGATTAAAATCAGCCAGCGTGTGCGTCTCCACTCCGCTGTTCCTTTGGCTCCTTGGGCTCCTTGGGCTCCCTGGGACATTTCTCGTTATTGGAGCACTCAGCTGAGCTGGACTCACGGCATTCGGCCATCTCGTTTGCTGGCCCACTTCGCTGCAGGCGGTGCTGCGGTGGTTCCCCTAATTGCAATCCGCCAAATTTGGCATGAGAAAGTCGCCCAGGCCAACAGAAATATGGCTGCTTTAAAAAAGCGCCTGCTGAATTTGGAATGCTATGAATAACCATCATTAGAGAGGAGCTGGAAGAGGAAAATGCATTTCTTTTGCGGTTTCACTGACTGCTAATGAGCTGCAGCTGCCAGGACGATACTTATGCAACTGCCGTTCCACCCACCTTTCTAGCCATTCTAAGCCAATTTTATAGAACAATCACCGAAAAAAAAATACAATTTAAGAAAAGGACATCTTGGCTTTTATTGTGCTATTTTTTTGTACATAATTCTTATAATCGAATACAAATAATTATAATATTGACAAATTAAAATACAATATTTTGTACATTTTGTGTTTGTATCTTTGCTATTCTCATTTGATTTTTCTCAGTGTCATTTCTTCCATTGGATTCTTATTAGCAGAGAGGCTAAAAGCTAATTAGTTGCCTGGATTTCTCCTACCCAGTCCCCATCCCATTCTCCAAGTGCTGGTGGAGCGTTAATTTTTTTGCTCTGGACTGCACACAGAAGCCTCCGCAGATGAGAATGTGTGAATGGAGGAGGGACTCCACCCACAAACACAGGATCATCCGCACGGCGAAACGAAACGGATGTTCTCGCGCGGCGTTGGCTCCGGTCCCGGTTGCCCATCCCCCGCCAGGTCATCCTGAATCTCTCTCTCTCTTTTTCCGCAGGGATGAGGGTGTGTGTGTGTGTGTGCGATGGAGGGGAGCAGCAAAATGTTAATAAATCTTATTTTTATCATTTGGCTATAAATACTGAATTTTTAGCTCCGGCCATGCTCAATTTATGGCCATTATTTATGTCGGAAAAGCGAAAACCTCAAACATGTTGCCACACTTTTTGCCCCTGCTCGTGGTCCGGCTCCTGCTGCCGCTGCCGCTGCTCCTGCCGCTGCTGGCCGCTCCTTTCGGATCCTTTCGGTGGCTTGCATTGTGCATCCATTTTATTTGCTGTTTTGGCCAGAAGAAAGAAAGATACACAAGCCATATTATTGCAATTTTCCAGTTGCTCCGCCCACGCCGCAGCTCCAAGGAAGCGAGGCAATGCGAAGCGAAACCGAGTGAAATATGAAAAATTGCATTACACCTTAATAAACACCTCACCTGGCGAGCTCCACCAGAGTGGTAGTGGGAGTGGGATCGGAGCTGGAGTTGAACTGGGGCTGGCACTGAAGGATGGGATTGTATCTCCCAATCGCGAGCGGAGCTCCACCAGCTCTTGCAGCTGTGTGTGCCCCGCAGTTTGGCCATAATGAAGATTGTCTGCTGCTTAAGTGGACGCACGTTGCCCAGTCGCTGGACCCAGATGGATGGCAAGAATCATATCCAAGGATGATGGACACTGGGAACAATTTTCTCTAAGAAGGGATAAGCTTCTGTGAATTAAACTCAAGCGAACTTCCGCTACTTTAGCTATAACTTTAATTTTTAGGTGGGTAACTAATTTAATTTTGTATCATTTCCATTTTGATTTTGTAATATATTCTCTTTACTTAAGGAAGCTTTCAATATTTTTCTTGAGTGCATCGAATCATGGGCATGGGAAGCAGGTCCTTCCACCGATCGTGGCAGGGAATGGGATCCGACAGGCCAGCGCGCTCGATCGCGATCACTTAGGCGCTCATCTGGCATAAAATTGTTAGAAACGCCCCGTGTGTGTGCGCCTCTGGGTACAATGCCTCACACTCCCTCCTGCTCCAGCTCCTGCTCCTGCTCTTGCTCCCTCTTCCACCTCGATTTGTGGCCATAACGTTTTTGCCATTAAATTAATAAATTAATGCGATCGTGCAACAGTCGATCATGTGGCCGGCCGGCCAGTTGCCAGCACAGCTTTCCTTTCCCTCAGCCCCTTCGATCTTCGATTTCTTTTTGGCTTGTCAGAATTTTCAAAATCTCAATACAACAGTTTATTCCGCGGAGAAGTTCATTGGTAATCAAAACGTTTCTGAGCACTTCTTTAACAGTGATTTATGGAAGCTTTAAATTGTGTTAAATTTATTATAAAAGAATTAATAGAAAAAGTTGACCATGTGTTTTGATTCTTTCATAATTAGTTGTTTGCTAAAGAATTATGTATATATTTTATAAAAATAATTTTGTAGTAGCAAACTATGATTTAGAATTTAGTATAAGGAATCTAATTTTAAATAAATGTTAATCCACTGTACCAAAGCCTGAAATGCCTTGAGTTTGAGGCTGCAGTCGCCTGCAGAGAGACACTGTTTTCCACAGCACCCGTCGGATTCGGATTCGCATTGCACCGAACGAGCTCTTGTCGTGATCCGAAAAGTGGGTGTTGCTAAGTGTTTCTTTTTTTGGGGGGCTTGGATGCTGGAGACGCAATGGCTGGTCGCTGCTTCGCTTCCCGGAGAACCAGTCTGCCATTTTGCAGGCCACCAGAGTCCTCCGGCAGCCCGCTCCTCCTGCTGCGCTGCATCATTAACGCGGGGCAGCGACAACGCCAACGACAACAACAACTGCAGCAACTGCAGCGAGGAGAGGAAATAATTGCATGGTCTGGACTCGAGGCCGTTCCCTTGTTGCAAGTCTCTGGCTGAAAGTTGCTGCACCGAAAATAATCATTTTGGAGAATTTTTTGGGAAAAATCAAAGTTTAAAAATATTATAACTCTGTCAAAAAAGAATCAAATTCAATTTGGAAAGCTTTTCTATGCTACTTTTTTTTAGGTTAACAAATCTGCATACAGAATTTAAAATTTTTTTAAATTAAATTTTTTGTCGATTTTTGAGAATTTTACTGATGTAACCCCTTACAAAATTTTGAAAAAATGAAAAAAAAAAATTTTCTTCCGGACATGGCTAGAACGATTCGTCTGTTAATGCTGATCAAGAATATATATGATTTATGGGGTCGGAAATGAGTCCTTGACTGACTAAAATTATAAAACACAATCAAGAAGTCCGGAAATATTGGAATTATTTAAATCGATATTTACTTTTACTATTTACAACTTTTTGCTTAAATTATAATAAAAAATTATAACAATAACTTCAAGTACATCTACAAAAATTAAAATATATTAAACTTTATAATTAAAGGACAAACGAACCAGATATCAGAGTGGTATAATCAGTTATAGTTTATTTAATCAACCACATTTAATCCTGTATTCTCTCGGTGTGTCTTCTGGTCGATGGCGGATCGTTGGCTCTCTGCTGGGACTGTGTTGCTCTGTTAATTTTACAGCCATGTCTGATATTGCTAAATGGCTGTGAGTGGATTCGTTTAAGCACCAATTTTATTACCAACAAGCATCACGCTGCATCTGCATCGGCTGCATTGGCCTCTCTCTGTCTCCGTTCGCTGGGCTTTTGGCCCAATGGGGCCCGGCTCTTAGCCCGACTCTTTTGTGGCTCAAACCATGACTCCTTCTGTTGCCGCTGCAAGTGGAGAGATCCAATCAGGTTGCGCCTTTTCGCTTCAGTTCCAGCCAGAAAAAAAGCAACAACCTCCACTTGTGGCCATTATGAGCTGGCAGTTGTTATTGCAGTTGTTATGGTTTTTTTTTTCGCCGTGTTTTTCGCTGCATATTTTGCATTTGGTAGGAGGCTGGGAGAAAAAAAAACGTACCA